TGATTGGTAGGGCCCAAAGGCGGCAGCCGGCCACATGTGGCGGGGCTTAAAAGGTAGGGTACCCCCAAATCTGCCTTTCTCATCGGATTTCGGCCACTTATTTTTTCGCCCTGGTCATTGACAAGACATACCAAAATCTAAAAAAAAAAACATTTTGGAAGTCTAGGTCCTCAACGAGCTCCATGCACAAAACGTGCAGTTAAATAGGCAGTTATAATAGTGTCGGAGGAATGCACGCCATTCTGAAAGAGGCCCACGCCGACTTAAAAGCACGGCTGTGCTGAAAGGGGTCAGGGACGGTTTTGATGGCCCAAGCCGAATGAAAAAGACGGCTACGGGGCCAGGAACGGCTTTGAAGGCCCACGCCAATCGCAGGGTTCGACAACTAACGAGGTCTCGAAACACCACGATAGTTAGAAAGACCTGCTTGCCAAAATAAAAGGATGACGGTACAAGCCGGCATTCAGAAAGTTACATGCCCGACCATGAAGAAGCAGAGAGATACGTCATCGACTTATAAGACAAAAAAGTTCATTTATTCAAATAACCACCGCTAAGACAAACACATTTCGCGCAGCGCTTCGGCCTTCGGGAGAGCCCTCAAAGTCTCCATAATCAATTGGGTTTTGGACCCATCCCACGTCCAAGACGGCTGCTTTAGTCTCCCTGCAGTCAGCGAAGCTGCCGCCTGCCACTGCTAATTTCCTTATGTTGGGGAAGAGGTGGCAACCAGAGGGTGCAGGGTTCGGAAAAAAAGTGGATGCGACAACAACTCGAAGCCACATTTCATCACTTAACTTATCGTCACCCCGCGCAAGTACGCAGGTGCGTGGCCGTGGATCAGTTGCACACTTTATGTCAGCTTCCCTATAGCCTCTCCTCGATGTCTATCGAATGGACGCACATCATCAATTGTGCGCCCCTGTTTTAGAAAGTTGACAAGCAGAGCCCCGTCGGCATACCAAAATGTAACCACTATCACTTTGCCGACTAACTTCAACTCGTACCACTCATTTGGTGGCCGTTACTCGGTGTGCACTGTGCTTCCACTTGCGCAACTCGGCACGGTGTCCCTTAGTGTCAACGTGTGACGCCCACAATTCCTTTACGGTGACAAGTCAATGATATCTTCTAGATATTCGATAAGGGGCCAAACACCCCGCTAAGCCTCCTTTCGAGCTTGCCTTTTCTCTGCAGTGTCAGCAAACGGGGGATACATCTTGCAGAGATCTTAAACATAGCATGATAGATTCCAGTGGCGTAGCCAAGTGTGGGGGGGGGGCACAGGGGGCGCGTGCCCCTCCCATCGGGTCCAGGGGGCCCTTCGGGTCCCTGCGGTGCCAATCGGCCGCTGAGGGTCCACGCTGGCCATATTTCGTCTCAAAGGGACCCCACAGGGCTCGTCAGAGCATCTCATGGGCCCCTAAGTGGCGTATTAAGATCTTCGTAAGTGCCCCACGCCGGCTTCTTAGAGCCCTTGTCACCAGTTAAGGCCCTAAGAGGCCGCCAAGGGCCCCTTACCAGCCTGCCCCTCACGGTCTCTGAGAATCTCTTGCTGGCCTCTGAGGGCCCATTGGTGGCCTTGGCTCTGAGGGCGCATTGGTGGCCTCGGCTCTGAGAGCTATTGGTGGCCTCTGAGGGCCCTTACCGGCCTATTAGGAGCCGGCTCTACGAGCTGCATGCCCGCCTGTGATGGTCCAACACCAATTCTCTTAGGGCCCCAATAACCGTGAGGAGTGCCTCTGATAGCCCACACCGGCGTTTCTGAGAGCCCACGCCGGCGTTTCTGAGGCCCCTTCTCCCCCAGTTCTGAGGGTCTTCATCAGAGGCTCCTAAGGCCCTACACCAGCGACTCTGACGGCTCCACTGAGTCCACACTGGTGACTCTGAGGGTCCCAGTGGCGTCTGAGAATACTATTCCGGTCTAAAGGGACCCCCTCGGCGCTCCTGAAGGCACCACCGACCTCTGAGGTCCCCTTGTCGTCCTATGAAGGGCCCGCACCAGCACTCAGCTCAGCAGCTCTAAGGGTCCCACACATATCTGTGATGGCCATAAACCAGTGTATCTGAGGGCCCCGAAACGGCGCTTAAGACTTAAGAGGGCCCTCACCGGCGACTGTGCAGGTCCCACTCCGGCGCCTCTGAAAGCCCCACACATATGCATCTGACGGACACCCACCAGTGACTTTTGCGTGGCCCACACCGGCAATTCTGAGGATCCCACCGGAGTCTGAGAGTACCGTGCCGTTCTCTAAGGACCCCACTGAACTTCTGAAGGTGCTGCCGGCCTCTGAAGACCCTTTGCCGGCCTGAGGAGTGAGGACACCTTGCCGTTCCCTAAGAATCCCCTGCCGGCTTGCGAAGGGTTCGCGACAGCAGCTCCTACGGCCCACAGGCCACACACATCTGTGACGAATGTACATATATGCTTATTTGCTTATCTGTTTATTTTGATTTTTTTACCAAGTGACAAAAGATTGGTAGAGCTCAGCGAACACTGGTAGGGCCCAAATAAACATTGGTAGGGCTCGGGCCCTACCAGGCCTATACAAAACGACGCCCCTGGCTGGAAGTGTAGGGAGGGTAGGAGGGCCGGCTGATCAGAGCTGGGAGGGTGGGAGGGCTGGGAAGACTGACTGCAGGCGCAGCTGGGAGGGCTGGGAGGGCTGACTGCAGCTGGAAGGACTGGCTGAGGCCTGGGAGGACTGGCTGAGGGCTGAGAGTGCTGGGAGGGCTGGGAGTGTAGGGAGGCTGGGAGGGCCGGCTGGTCAGAGCAGCGGGGGTGGGACTGGGAGGGCTGGGCGGACTGGGGATGGCTGCAGCTGGGAGGGCTGGGAGTGTTGGGAGGGCTGGCTAATCATAGTTGGGGGGGGGGGACTGGGAGGGCTGGGAGGACTGGAGGATGGCTGCAGCTGATGGCGCCGTCAGAGCTGCGGCCAGTCACGGCCTCACAGTGCAGAGAGTGGACACAGCGGCCACCGCGGACACACCACCACAGCGGCCACCGGTGGTGACGTTTTAAACCCATTACCTACCGATTAGAGATATCAATCGGATACCAACTTGTTGGTACACCGACATCAAACGGATACCAATTTGGTATTTGGTATTTCAAGGCTAATGTTGTTTGTTATTTTGTCGGTATTTTCAATCGTCTTTCATGTAAAAGAGGCTGTGAATTTGGTAAAAAAAAAGTTGGTATTAGCCGTTTTCACGACGGCCATCTGGTACACATTTGGTGCACATCTGGTACAGATTAGGTGCAGATCTGGTCAAATCAGGTTCAGTGTGTCTCTTAGCAGCTATCAGCTAGGGTTGCCTTAACCCTCGCCCGCACATGGGGGGGGGGGGGTGGGGGTGGTAGCCACCCCCCACCCCAGGTAGTCTTTCTGCTCTGCACTCAACATTTTTAGAGCTAGATGGCTGATATTTCGTATAGCTGCTCCTCTATCCTTTCTTGATGTCCACTGAAAATTTTAGGTTTCTGTGACTTTTGGTTTCGGAGATATGACCTTGTTTTTCAGGTCATGTCATGACCCAAATGGCCAATTCTCGACATCTTGCGTTGGCTATGGGCCTTGTGAGCTTTTGACACCTTGATTTCGGCCTTTTTTACCAGTCTTACCTCCCACCTATCATGGAACATGTTGTTCGACGATGTACAGATGTCAAGGTCAAGGTCAAGGTCAACCTAGGTCATCTAAGATAATTACGTTTTAGGCAAGCGGAATTTACTTTTTGTGAAGTTTTTGACTGCATTTTTGGTAAAAGCTTCTCAGATCATGATTTCATGTAATATGGACACATAAACAATCGGTGCACACATCAGTTTACACACAGACACACACAGACATACAAACACATATAATTGACCTTGACAAACTTGACCTGAAATGACCTCAGCAGCAAAAACCTGGTCGGGTAGTGTGAGAAAGAGGTTCTAGCTGGCTTGGCACCAGAAAACGGCATCGTCATCGGTATATGATAAGCAGCGCACTTGATATCAAACGGTGACCCAAAACAGCAACATTTTTTAGTTTGACCTGACCTGGAAGGTCAATGACTGACCTGAGAAGGTAAAACTGGGTATCATTGGATTTGTCTCTTCCCAAAGAATCTTTTTGGTATTTACCGCTAAGCTCTATCTCCAACAGGAACGAAATGGCGCGGGGGGTGGCAACCCTCCCCCCCCATGTGCGTTTTAGGATGGGAAAATGGCATGTGCGGGCGAGGGTTAATTGCTTATATGCCTGCTTTGTCATATTATCAGAGAGCTTCATCGATTTAAACACTGAAAAAAATCATAAAATGAAGATATTTGCTATAAAAGAAATTAGGTGCAGATTTGGTCAAATCAGGTGCATTCGCCGGATAGCCCGTCGTGAAAACGGCTATTTCCCTGATTTGACCAAGTCCGTTCGGTTTTGGTATTTTTCCATGGTTATTATTGGTAGTTGGTTTGTTACCGGCATCACAATTTTCCGTAATTGACATCAATATCACAGATCCATTACAGATTACAGATGCGGCGCCGTCACGTTTATTCCAGCATCGGACCGAGTCAGCTGGAAACAGTTGGCTGAGTCGAGCGGCCTGCCTGAATGCCGCCGACAATGCCCAGGAATTAGCTCATGAGCGTACCTATTATCTGAAACTGCATAGTGCATATATTAAAATGAGGTTTGGTGTTTGTTCATTGTGCGGCCAAGCTATGCCATGCCTTGCTCCCTTCCCCTTGACTCAGCGGGTGCTGACGTATGTACAGTCAGTCTTATAAGTACCGCGCAAAGTACCGGTGCATCCGTCAAGCCTGACCGATGAAGGGAAGTTACCGAACCAAATGACCTGGGGAATGGACGAGGATGTTAATCGCTTCGGTGGCTCAAATTTAGCAGTCCTTCCACGGTCGGGCTCGATGGATCCCCCGCACTGCTGCGCGGTACTTTTAGGACGGACTGTAGGTACACCTGCTGGAACCATGTCGCCGCTGTCTCCGTCAGGTGCCATCACGTTCGTGGGTATGATGATGGGCGCCGTGGTGTGGGGCGTGCTGTCGGACTCGATGGGCCGCCGCCGCACCCTGGTCTCGGCGCTCACCGTCAACGTCATCTTCGGCATCGTCACCGTGTTCATGCCCACCTACGGCACCTTCATGGTGTCGCGCCTGTGCAGCGGCGTCGGGTCAGTGTGGGCAGCAGTGGGCAGCACATAGGTATAGCCCAAGCAGTTTTGTCAATCTTTGTCTTTATTTTGTCTTTTCACTTGTTAATGATTTGAGAGCATGAAGTGCGTATCGGTTGCAACTATATTCAATTTTGGATGTAGCTTCATCGTAATTTTAATAAGGCATTTACCTAATGGTTAAATTTTAGCCGGAGTGTGTAGTGTCGGCGATGATGGACTTCGGTCGCCCTGTCGGGGCCTTTTCATAACCCGGACGGTAGGGGGTGCGATTCCCTGGCGATTCACAGTCTTATAGCACTTAAAAACACTAAATGTACACTGTACAGGGTAAGCGGGTCATAGGATATCTCGCTTCTGTGTAAACTTGGTGACTTTAACTGAAACTCACTGTATTACTATTGACAACCTGTGTCATTCCGCATTTCTGAATGTGCTCCATGTTGCAGGATCGGCGGCTCGATTCCGATCGTGTTCGCGTACTTTTGCGAGTTCCTGACCAAGGCGCGGCGCGGCCAGTACCTGAGCTGGCTGCTGGTGTTCTGGTCCGTCGGAGGCGTGTTCGTCGCGTTCGCCGCCTGGCTCATCATCCCACGCACTGGTCAGTGAGTGCGCACTCTATCGCCCGTCCACACTGCCTCAGTTTTGCTTCGCTTGCATATTTGTTATTCTTGTGCTTCACCTTTGGTACCCCTTGTTCAATGTCCTACTTTTCCTTAGCCTCCGCTTTGTTGGAGGGGGATGGCCACTCTCCAGTCTGTGCGTGCGCGCGCGAGTGTGTGTGTCTGTGTGCGGGGATGGGGTAGATGTGGGTGTGGGGGCGGGTGGGTGTGGGTGAAGGTGTGGGTGTCATCACCATCACCATCACCAGATGTGACCTACTGTGACCGGCTGTGACCTACTGTGACCTGCGGTGACCGGCTGTGACCTGATGTGGCTTGGTGTGACCTGATGTGACCCGCTGTGACCAACTGTGACATGTTGTGACCCACTGTGACTGTGACCTGCTGTAACCTGATGTGACCTGGTGTGACCTGGTGTGACCTGTGATTTTCTGTGACCTGCTGAGACCCACTGTGGCCTGTTGTGACCCGCTGTGACTTTATGTAGCCTTCTTTAACCTTTTGCGACCTGCTGTGACCCACTGTGACCTGCTGCGACCTGTTGTGACCCACTGTGACTTGCTGTAACCTGCTGTGGCCCACTGTGACCTGCTGTGACCTTCTGTGACCTTCTGTGACCTTCTGTGACCTTCTGAGACAAACTGTGACCTGCTGTGACCCACTGCGACCTACTAAGACCCACTGTGACCCACTGTAATCTGCTGTGACCTGCTGTGACGCCGCGGCCAGGTGTAATGGTGGTGATCGAGGAGCGCGCCCACTTCTCGTCGTGGCGCGTGTTCCTGCTGGTGTGCAACCTGCCGTCGCTCCTGGCCCTGCTGGGACTCACTTTCATGCCCGAGTCGCCGCGCTTCTTACTCGAGGTCGGCCGTGAGATCGAGGCAATGCGAGTGTACCAGGTAAGCGCAGCCGCACACGGGCCACTATCTCACTGTGGGGTGCTCGAATTCAAAGTCGGTCTCGACAAACCCCAGAGTGGCTTGAAGGCTGTGGCATCAGTGACTTGAAAATTATACTGCGTGATGCTTCACAGTCAACACCTACGATCGGTCTCGTCATTGACATTGTTCGACCAGTTTCGGCAAGTTTGCGAGGATCATGTATTTGACAGATGTGCAGATGACTATCCTCGTAATTTTTTAAATGTTAAGTAAGGCAATGCAGGTAGTTATATTAACAAATATAAATGTCGGATGTCTCATCATCCAAATGCAATTTAAAAGCATAAAACATGTGTTGGGCTTAGGTAATTCTGATATGAAGGACTGAGTGGCTGAGGAGCGACGCCGTCTGCTACCGGGTGTAGTCAGGGAGCTGCAGCCCGCCGCCTCCCGCTGTGTGTATGTGGTGTGTAGTCAAGTAGTCCGCCGCCTCCCGCTGTGTGTATGCGGTGTGTAGGCAGGGAGCTGCAGTCCGCCGCCTCCCGCTGTGTGTATGGTGTGTGGGCGGGGAGCCCGCCGCCTCCCGCTGTGTGTATGTGGTGTGTAGGCAGGGAGCCCGCCGTCCGCCACCGTGTGTGGGTAGGCCCGCCGCCCGCTCAGACCGCTCTGCCGTCCGCCCGCAGCGCATCTACAAGTGGAACCACTCGGACCCCTCTGCGCAGTACTCGCTGACGGAGCTGGAGCTGCCCAAGCAGCGGACCGCGTACCGGGACTCGGCGCCGCCGCCCAACACGGCCATCCTCAGCCGCTTGCTCTCGCTGGCCGACCGGGTAAGGTGCCCACTCACGGCGCACATGGGGGCTGGTTCGCTGGCCGACCGGGTAAGGGGCCCGCTCACGGCGCACGTGGGGGCTGGTCTCGCTGGCCGACCGGGTAACGGGGCCCACTCACGGCGCACGTGGGGGCTGGTTCGCTGGCCGACCGGGTAAGGGGCCCACTCACGGCGCACGTGGGGGCTGGTTCGCTGGCCGACCGGGTAAGGGGCCCACTCACGGCGCACGTGGGGGCTGGTTCGCTGGCCGACCGGGTAAGGGGCCCACTCACGGCGCACGTGGGGGCTGGTCTCACTGGCCGACCGGGTAAGGGGCCCACTCACGGCGCACGTGGGGGCTGGTTCGCTGGCCGACCGGGTAAGGGGCCCACTCACGGCGCACGTGGGGGCTGGTCTCACTGGCCGACCGGGTAACGGGGGCCCACTCGCCAGCTGCCGCGCCGCGCCGACCCGAGCCATGCCTCCGGGCTCGGCCCTCACCGTTGCGCTGACGTCACAGGCGGCCCACATCACCTTCCAGCCACCGACCCAGACCGGTGTCATACGGGTGGGTAGGCTGTGCCGCTTGACAAGTAAGTGAAGCGGTACAGTCTACCGGTACCAGGCGGCTGCTGCCAATGTTGAGCCATGGGAACCCGGTGCATAAAGAGTTGTAGAACATCAATCTGCCCCCGAGTGTACAACCAAGCACTTATAGAGTTGGTATGCATATCATTAGAATCAGCCGAGCCTGAGGAATCCAGCAATAGTAAAAACAAGTCGATCCCTAGCAAGTGTTCAAACCCTGATAATCCCTTTAATATAAATACCGTTTGTTAAAAATACCGTTATATTAGGCGGTACGGTACGGTACGGTATGCATCGAGGGTATCCTTTTTTAGGTAGAAGGGATGCTGCTACCCTACAAAAATTACCGCAAGTCAATCGCACAAGCGGCTGCTGAGATATGAGCCTCTCAAAATCACCACTTTTGCAAAACAGCTTGAACACCCTTGACTTTTCACGTGGCACGTGCCACGGCGGTCACTGAGGTGTGTCAAAAGTAGTCAATTACGGGGTAGAAGGGATGGGGCTACCCAGCAAAAAAGACCGCAGGCCAATCAGTCCAGCGGTTGCTGAGATATAAGCCTCTCAAAAGCGTTACAGGCCGGGCCGGGCCGCTCATACTGAGATTTTTCCGTTATATTGAAAAGACTCGCTTCGCTCGCTGCGCTCGCTCGCTCGGTAAATACCGTACGGTAAATACCCGTATAGTTATTGTCGGGTAAATAAATTGCCGACAATAAATTGCGAGCGAGCGCAGCGAGCGAAGCGAAGTCTTTTCAATACAAGGGGAAAATAAAATCTCAGTATGAGCGGCCCGGCCCGGCCCGGCCCGGCCTGTAACGCTTTTGAGAGGCTTATATCTCAGCAACCGCTGGACCGATTGGCCTGCGGTCTTTTTTGCTGGGTAGCCCCATCCCTTCTACCCCGTAATTGACTACTTTTGACACATCTCAGTGACCGTCGTGGCACGTGCCACGTGAAAAGTCAAGGGTGTTCAAGCTGTTTTGCAAAAGTAGTGATTTTGATAGGCTCATATCTCAGCAGCCGCTTGGGCGATTGTCTTACGGTAATTTTTGTAGGGTAGCTGCATCCCTTCTACCAAAGGTCGGATACTCGAGGTATCCGACCTTTCCCGTATAGTATCCCGTATAGTATAACCACGGAATATATAGTCTACGACATGTCGATATGTCGTAGACTATGTCTACGATATGTCGTAGACTATATATTCCGTGGTATAACTATACGGTAAATACCGTACCGTATAGTATAATGTACCGCACGTATAATGTAGGGTAAGGGCGGGTAAGAGTACGCGGGCGATAAGAGTACGCATCAGCTGTTTCGGTTGCTTAGCAACGCGGGTTTGTCGAGTTCATGAAGTGACATGAAGCCGCCAGTGCGTGCATGTCACCAACGGAACGTGGGCGTTGAGCGGCGACGCTGTTGAGTTTAAGGCGATGAATATTATTTTCGAGCGTTATGATATTATTATGATATGGTACAATAATTTTGATACTTGGCAGTTGAGATAAGGTACATTTCCGTGATTGTTGTGGGAAACTTGTGAGGTTATCTGGGGAAATACTGTACAGTGCAATATTCTGTTTGCGAAGTTTTGCACAACGTTTTGGGGTTGTTTGGTGCGCGAATTGCATGTACGGTAAGAGGACGCACTGTTCAGGAGGGCAAGAGTACGCAGAATTATACATTAAATCGAATATACAGAAATATAGAATTATTAATCTATCGCTCAATGACGATTGTTTTGTAGGTATATCATCAATGGAGCACTGTGATGCAGATGCGTACCCGAAATTCTTCCAAATACGAGTTATTCTCCTTTGTGATTGTGCATTTTTTAAAGAAACACACGACATGATTATTTCCTGATTTATAGACTTGAACGATTTATTTTATGTTTTTCTTTTTGGATACTAGAATTAACTTAAATGCCTTCTGAGTTTGAAGTTAAGCATTTGGACAGTGCAAGCTGCATAGGTGTGTGTTCATATGCTTGCGTACTCCACCCGCCTGGCGTGCGTACTCTTACACACCCCATATGGTAAGAGTACGCAAGTGCAACGGTTCAGAAAATGTCAGTTTTAGACCACTTCCATTTACGCTGAAGGATCGTTGCCCCATGGGTTGATGGCTAATTCAATGATCTTTAATATTCCCTATTTGCGATTTCTTTCCTTCAAATATTAAACAAATGAGAGCAAGAAATCCACTAAGTGCGTACTCTTATACGACTTCACCCTATGTAATGATACTGTATATCATTCGTCATTTGATTGTGAATACCGTTTGTTTACATTTGTTCATAACAACAGTACGATCGTCTTATTTAACCTTACCAGCGTTAGGTGTCCTCGGCCTTCAGCAAGGCTTGCAGCTGAAATGTGGTTGGTTTCACTGTCAGGCTAATAGCCCTGTTTCCATTATAAGTTGCCTTGTGCAAGCCGTTCCCGGTCCCAATTGTGCTGCCGCCATGGCCCGTCGCTGACGGCGCAATAATAGCCGCGACGACTGATTGCGCACAAAGTCGGGACCGACTTTGTGCAATCGATCATCATCGATCCACAATTATGTGCAAAGTAACAGACCTGCAATTGAGCCATAGTGAATACACGTCAGAATTCATAGTTTTACTTTGACGCTCTGTTAATATTACATACCTAGTTAGTGGCAGATGTGCTGCTATACTTATCATGTACTCCTCAGTTTTTCTTGAATATCTCTGAAACGGCAGGAGATAATATGCTGCAATTTTCTAGCTTTTCCTTCATCTAAAATGGGTAACTTCCTTCCCCATTTCAAGTTTAATCACTGTACCAGAGGCGGCTTCAGGGCCCACTTTTTGGGAGACTTTCCTCAAATCTCCGGGCATAGATAACCTCCGGGCAAACCGAACACACAGGCTAAATGGTACTATGGTCCGTTTTCTCTTATTTGGAGATTTTTGGGGTTCCCAGCAACATTCCCGATAACCAAAGGATGCATACCTAATTGCTATGCAAATAAAACTGTCGCAATGACAATCTCAAGCATTATGGCGCGTTGAGAATAATAAGACGTTTATTTGGCGAGCTTAGCTTATCCGAATCATTTGATACAATAGTGATCAGCATTGCTTCTCAGATGTAGTTGTCACTCTTGAAATGAGAAGCGAAAGTGTCTTTTGCCTGTGCTCGTGGCTCATCAGCCGGCCACAATTTTTTTGCGTGTAGTTTTATTCTGAATCTAAACCAGACACATTTCATACATATCCATACAGGAGACCCACACTGACAGGGGCGTCGCCGACGGGGGGGTCGGGGGGTCGCGACCCCCCACTCGTCAGAACCGGAGGGGTCGACCCCCCCCCCCTCCCACACTTTTGGCGATGCTGAGTATGCTTTTTTTAGCTATCATGTCAGAGAAGTTGGCGCCAGCAACATCAACAAATACAACGTCAGATTCAGAATCGCTTCAAGAGCTCCCTAGTCCCTATTGCGGTCAATAAGTGTGGGCTAGAACATCAGCATGACAATATGATTCTAGTCCCTTTTTATCCATCAAATGAGCGAGCGCGTCAAGACTGACTCAAGCGTTCGTCTGATTGTCAAAATAATGGTTGCAGTCGATTCGTCGGATGGCCTGGCTACCCTCCAAACTGCCTGCAATAGGGGGAATGGGGTCAGATGGTGGACCCCTCTCGGGCTTTCCCAATAAGACGCGCAAAAGGAGCCTATTGCAACGAAACTTTCAGTTGACCTCGAGTTAATCAATTTTACACCTGCTCTAAAATTTATTGGCTCTGATTCGAATATAGAGAACCTTGGTTCACTTTTTTGAGTTTTATTTGCTTCCACTTACAAGTGTAGTTTTTGGAGCTGATTTCGAGTTTAGCGCCCGTTTGAACATAAGAAGTAGTTTTGATAAATGGTGGTTATGTAACATGTTACGAAGCTATCGGTGGTGGTTGTCACCCACTCTAGATGGCCGGCAGCAAGCCTGTTGGTCGACCTGACCTGACCCGACCCGATCTACCCCAAATGCATGGAGTCATCATCTTTGTTCAAAGCTAACATCGAAATCGTACTCGGGACCCCGATATCAGCTACGGGTCACAAAGTTCCAACAGGTCCTGATTTTCCCTACTTTTGGGCGTTGACGTACTAGTAGATGACCCGGCCAAGACCTTGAAATTGGGCATCATTGGCTTTCTCTCATCACGGGCAGAATTCTCGCTTTTCTGCGAAGGTCTACCTCGATCAGGGGCCGAAAGCATGCCTTAGCGTTACGTTGGTAAACGTTTTACCTTGGCGACCCGTAAAACACGAATAAGAGCTACAGCGACACAAAGCGTATTCGAGAGCTTTTTTAAAGCTCTTCCGCCAACTTCGCCTCAGATTTGACTTCGGGTCTATGGCTTGTGTAGTCAGTAGTCACAGAGGCCAAACAGATAAGCGGACGGATTTTGCCGAAACATTTGTTCTGTGACAACCTATGGTTCAAAGAATGTGTATGATATTCATGTTATCACCATTCACCATCGTATTTGTTTCGTCGAAACGCGTCGCATGGCTTAAATTTGAACTTAAAGACTTAACTAAAAAATTTGACATCAGGAAAAGGTCATGTCGACCTGACCGGAAAGAACCTGCTGCATATGGATCGATCTGTGTTGCTGAGCTGAACACACTCCAGGCATGCTGTCATCGCTCTACAGCGTCTCCATCAAAGGTTGTCGTCGAAAATGTGTTAGCTGACCAAATGACTGACCATTCGAGTCATCACTGGTCATTAGCTGCACCTTGTCCCTAAAATGAGCAGAGGTGCCATGGCTACAAAGTACAAAAGTATCTAGCTTTTTTTAGCATATTCGTTCAAAACAGTGGGCATTCCTGCTTCATCTCAAATCTCATCATGATGATTGGTGAGGTCACATATTTGACCTGACTTTACTTCTCAGATGTGAAATCCCAGTCATGAACTCTTGGCACTTATAATCCCATTCATTACACCAAATTCAGACTTATAGGAGATAATCTATAGAAATGACAAGATTGCAGTTTTTAGAGGCATTAAAACTGAACTTGACATGACATTGTGACCTGACTTCAGGTGACCTGTGCTTGATTTTTATGCCCGATGCAAAAGTGATATACAATAAGATATACCGCTGTTTTCGTGGCGCTGCGCGCCGAGGTTTTTCTCAACACACGAAAAAACCGGTAGTGTGGCTAAAAACAGTAAACACCCCTACCCATCAAGACGAAGATGGCCCGAGATGGCCCATAGGAACCCGACCCCCCCCCCCCCACTCAAAATCCGTGGCGACGCCCCTGCCCACACATTGCACATCTGAGACGAAGACATGATTTATTCAAGTGCGGCAATCACTAACTCTGTAGACATGCACGTGTTATTGGGCTATCAGAATTAGAAGGCTTTCCCGATCATTACTCTGAGGCTTGTCGTGGACACCATAACTATATGATTTGTTTGAACAGATAGTCTTTCCTTAATTTTAACATTTTTGATTAACCCATGCCGCCAAAAGTTCGTTAACATCATGACAGTTGCCAAATAAGTGTGCAATGGATTCCTGATGCATTGGACAGCTTCGACACAATTAGACCGTACATATACAAACGTTTATTCGTGGGTAAAAACCGATGTAAACATTGAAATTTGAAGCCATCTTAACTTTTGGTCGTCGGTGACTGTGTATGCGATATTAAATCCCCGATCCCAATAAATACCCGAGCCGGCCACGATCTTGTTTGTATGTGTGTATCGCCGCCGGTGTGCGGCCGTGTGGGGGTGGGCCGGTGTGCGGCCGCGCTGAGTGCGCCGCGCGTATGCCGGCAGTTCTGGGCCGGCGTGTCACAGCTGTTCCTGCCGTCACACAGCTCCACCACCGTCGTCCTGCTGTTCGTCTGGTTCATGGCCGCCTTCGGGTGAGCGCTGCCGCCCGGTACCGGGGCGGGGCAGCCGTGTACCTGTGTGGTGTGTAGGTACCGCCGCGTCTGAATGTGAATATAATGCAACTTTATGCACGTCCGCCGCAGGGGTAACGGGGTATCCGTGTTTCTATATAGGTCCTCGGCGGGGTACCTGCGCAGCCGTGTTCCTATATACTCGTAGGTCCACCGCTTGAGGAAACAGTACATCTTTTAAATATCTTATTTTCGATTTATAGCAATTCAATATGACAGAGGGTAGCAGACCCTCATAGTCGATGTATCACTTGATTGATTTCACATAGTTTGCTGCTGAAATAATAATGCCGCATCCTGATAGGATGCTAATCATGGTGTGGTGTGTCGCAGATATTACGGACTCTCCATCTGGTTTCCCGAATTCATCAAGATGATCAAATCTCGTGACTACGTCACCCAGGCGGCGTACGAAATCGAGGCGCGCTACGTCAACAAACTGTTCAACGGCACCATCGCTAACAGAAAGTACATCAACTCCACATTCGTCAACTGCACGTGGGCCGACGTCACCCTCAACCACGTCGACTTCATCAACTGCAACATCTACCGGTCGGTATTCACCGACATCAAGTCATCGCGCACCGTGTTCCTCAACTCGACACTGGTCGAGAACCGATTCGTCGACACAGACATCTACCCCAACGTGCGCTTCCGCAACTGCGAGCTGCGCAACAACAGCTTCCAGGCCATGGTGCCGGGCTGCCAGCTGGACTTTGACTACAACCTGCACTACGTGGACGTGTTCCAGGAGAACCTGATCGGCCAGCTGTCGCTGATACCCGGCAGCTTCGTCTCCTCCTACCTGCTCGACAGGGTCGGGCGCGCCAAAATGATCGGTGAGCTCGGCGACAATCTGAGTCGTGTAGATGTTATCAGTACTTAAAGGGACTATCCCACCTTCTAAAATGTTGTTTAGACCAGTTAAATTGTGCCCGACTTTATAGATTGGATGACCAGGAACACGGTTCTGGCATTTATTTTTCATTAAACATCTTAGGCTTCCCAAATTCCAAACATAAACTTTCAAATATGTGACGTCACAGCCCAAAATTACCTTCTTCCCCAGGCCACATTACTGTCATAAAGCTGATTCTTTTTACTCTGTAGGCACCACAACAAAGTTCAGACCAAGATTTAAGCGATTTTTCAACGAACAAACCCATTTAACCCGCGCCCTGCTGGGGGTCCTGGATTTCCACGCCCTGCTGGGGGGGGTGTTTGAACACCCCCCCTTGTAACTCGGCTCCTGGGCCACGTAGCGATACGCGGAAGGCGGCGTTCGAAAGAGCGTAAAAAATAATGACGAAATCACTTCGGTCAATTTTTTGGTCAGGTCAAAGGTCAGGTCACCAGAGGTCATTGAAGGCAAAATTTCGCCGATTTCCAGGTTGAATGTCGAAAATTTCCAAGAAGCCAACGCATAACTCGGGAACCAATAGAGCTACAGCGCCGCGGAAAAGCGCATTCGATAGCCCTATTAACGCCCTTTCTGAGTAATCCTCTCAGATTTGACCTAAGGTCAACGGTTTTGCCTGCAGGGGGCAAAAACTGCAAAAATAGCCGATATTTTCGAAAACAGTTTTTCTGCAATAACTTTTGACCCAAGCCTTGTACGAGCTTACTTTTACCATCATCGTGTTCCTCTCGTCAAGACGCATCGAATGAACTATAACTTGACCTTGAAAGGTCAACTTGAAAATTTGACCTCAGGTCAAGGTCATGACCTGACCGGAAAGGGTCATATTGCATATCAGTCGATCCGTATCGTCGAGCTGAACACATCTAAGGCGTTTTCATCGCTCTAGCATGCCTCTATCAAAAGTTATTTGCGAAAAACTGTTAGATACCATTCGTGACCTAAGATGACCTCAGGGCATAAACAAGGGTCACGGACACCATTTTCAAGTTCAGTGTGTCTAAACCACTTGTAATTCGGTGTTTGGGAGTGTGTATAATGTCTTTGATCCAAAAGAGGCGCATTTCAATTTTCTCCCATTGACTTATAATGGGGAGGTCGCAAAATTGACCTGACCTTAGGTCATCAATATCAAAATTCTGAGATATACATTTTGTACATGCTATTGCTCTTAGCAATCGCTGAAAGTTTCAAAGCGATCGGTCACTCGGTGTAGCTATGACAGACATTGAAAGTTTTTATGAGGTGAGGTCACTTCAAGTGACCTGGTGACCTGACCTTGAATGACCTTGGTCTGAAATTTTCACAACATGTGTAGAATTGATGTATGATAAGGTGTACCAAAAACGGCGGCGCTCCGCGCCGCCGTTTTTGAGATATTCGCGAAAAACCACAAAGGGGGGTGTTCAAACACCCCCCCCCCCCAGCAGGGCGCGGGTTAAATCAGAATGACTAAACGAGGTGACGTCACACTAACGGTCGCTCCATGTTGAAGATAGGGCCTTGCGCAAGGCCCATTTTCAAATGAAGGGAACGAATTTCTTCAACACCAAGAGGCCGCGGGGGTTGCAACCTCGATAGATAGTGGTTTCTGAACCTCGCCGCAAACTTGGCTATCTCAACTCAAACCCCATGTTAAAGGTGGGATAGTCCCTTTAACGCATGGTTTTGGATGCATTAATGGGTTTAGTGCACGAGTGGGGTGATTATTGCACGAGTGTGCACGAGCAAAACGAGTGCATGAACAGTGAACACACGTGTGCAATAATCATCCCACGAGTGCACTAAGGCCATTAATGCATCCAAAACTATGCGTTACGTGTGTTAATACATGATTTCTGGTGCAGCACCCACGTCGGCAGAGCTAAAGGGTCTTGTTTGGGGAATGGGGATGGAAAAAGAAAAAGGGATATGGCTTGTTTGGGGTACACGGAAGATATGCACGCGTGTTTTTTTTTTCATTTAATTTGTCGTGATCTTGATTTGTGGCGTGTATTGCATCAAAATGTTTATCATCCATTTGTGATGGTTAAAGGGACCCTCCCACCTTCAAAAAAGTTTATGAATTGGCATGAAAGTGATGTCGCTCGGTTCAGAAAGAGCGAAAACGAATATCTACCAAATTTTACCGAAAAATATTCACCGGTTTTCAAGATATTAGACTTTTACTTTTGTTTGCTTTTTGGGATCTCCGCTGTTCCTAGCGACTTTATTTGGAAGCAATAGTTTGGCAGCTGAAAGTTCGGCACTTGTTGCGCGCAAAGCAGCATATACCACCGCGTGCTACAAAACGTTTTAGTCAAACATTTAAAAATCGTTAGATATCTGCGCTGACGTCACACATTCAGAGGGGTATTCCTATGCATTAGCCCCTCTGAATCAAAATGCTGCAATTTTGAAATTCAATATTTCCGATTTAAGGCATTTCTCGATGTTGTGAGTGCCGAAACCAGTAATTGTGAGCCAGGGACCCCATTTTGGCTATCTCAACTCAAATCTAATGTTAAGGTGGGAGGGTCACTTTAAGACGACTGCATATCCCACTTAGAGCAAATCAAACAGTGGGTGACTCGCGTATGAAAGCGCTTTTATGGTTTCATGAATAGGAAGGCTTTGAATTAAAGCACCCCGACTCATCTGCTAAACAGCAAAACAACGAATCAGAAAGATCAAACGACACAGGTCTAAGACCAAACTTGTTTCACGAGCTAATGCCTAGCAATGCATTAGATTAGAATGCGTTGAGGAAATATTAATGCACGCGTGTGTTAATGATATTAATGCACGCTCGCACCTATAATGCACGGCATCCACCAAATTAACTAACGGATAATTTCCTAGTAAATGCACCGGAAAGCATATAGGCATTAACTTTACAAAACTAGGAGCTACCTATATTCACGTCGACTTCATAAGTCGACGTGAATATATATAAAAGGGGTTGTTCAAACACCCCCCCCCCCCGGCCCGGGTTAAGAACTTAAGAAGTACTTGCATAGCCTTCTTTATTAGTCATTAAATTTGTCCTGACACCTGTATACCTAATGCATATAGGTAGGTACGTCCGTACGCTTAATATACACCTGTATACAAAAATACGAGCGATTTACGAATTGTATTTTTGCAGGCTGAGTAACATAAACCTTTGAGGCCACACATTTGAACCTGTCGCCAACCGGTCGTCTCTGTAAGTACAGCGGTCTGTGCTCTATGTGCGAGCACTGATCAGAGATGCCGCGATGACCTGACCCGGGCTGACCTCCGCAGCGGGCTCCTTGCTGATCTCCTCCGGAGCGGGATTCTTCATGTGGTTCCTGCAGACGAAGATCGGCGTCATTCTGTTCGAGGCCGCCTTCAACATGGTGTTCATCAGCGGCTGGAACGCACTGGATGTGCTCACCACCGAGGCATATCCCACCCAGCTGCGGTACGAGCACCAGCACATCCAGCGGATAATCCAATCAGGCACTTTGCGTACCCCACCCAGCTGCGGTACGAGCACCAGCGCATCCAGCGGATAATCCAATCAGCGACACTGTTCAGTTGAATCGAATTGAATGGAGTTGAATTATCACAAATTATCAATCGAACTACTCCGATCAGTTGGGTACTTCAATGTATTTTTGCTAATTTATGCACGCCTGCTGATTAGTTTTGTTATTGGAAGTCTATATGCAATATGCATTAATCAGTATTTATTACTTATTGTTATTATTCACTAGAGGCGCTGTAAAAAGTCTATGTAGGTGCTGATAAAACTGACGTTGACCGCTGCGGCTCGGACCACCTCCCTCCCCGCTGAGCTCCCCGCTGACCCCTCCCCGCTGAGCTGGCCGCGCGGTCTGTGTGGTGCTGACGCCCCCGGTCGCCCCGCTACCCCCCGTTGACCTGGCCGCGCGGTCCGTGTGGTGCTGACGCCCCGCTGACCCCTGCTGACCTGGCCGCGCGGTCCGTGTGGTGCTGACGCCCCCGGTCGCCCCTGCAGCACCACCGGCTACGGCTTCATCTCGTCCGTGTCTCGCGTGGCCGGCATCGTGGGCACGCTGACCTTCGGCCAGTTCATCGACGTCAACCTGGCCATCCCGATGCTGACAACGGTGGCGGTGCTGGCGCTGGGCGGACTGGCCGCCTTCCGACTGCCCGAGACCAAGGACGTGCTCATCTGAGCGGCGTCCTCATCTGAGCGGCGTCCTCATCTGAGCGGCGCGGCGTCCTCATCTGAGCGGTACGGGAGCGGCACGTGGCCGGCGAGCTCACCCACACCGGACTGCCACTCGTCTGGAGCCGACGGAGTTTGGCGTACCTCGCTCTGATGTCGGCGTGAGCAAGCCTCGAGCGGCAAGCCGGGTCCAATGGAGCCGGACAGACAGACGGACAGGTACGCAGATCCATGTTGACAGGTCGGCCAATGCCATTCTCTATCCGGCCGGCTGGTTTAAGATGAAATGAGCTTGAAGAGCCGTGACCTCGATTACCGTTCGACCACCGGGCCGGCACGACTTGCCGTATAGAACGAGGAGTATTTACGAGGGGTGAGAGCCAATGCAGTAGCGTCTGCCCTCGAGTGTCTCCACGTTTCAGCAGTCACATATTGTCGACCTGTCCCACGACTGCAAATGCATAATGCATTATATCTGTATGGTGTCGTGCCCGCCCTTTCCGTGTACTTACCTACTACGGCGCGGATGTGCTACTCACTATTCTGCTGCTCTCCTACTCATGTCAATCTTTGGCTTTCGGTGCGTCCTATGTACAAGACGATCATTCCACCTCTGGCCCCTGTGCAGTCAGTCCGGGGCGTTGTTCGTGAAGTGCGCGTGCATGGCACTCGCGGCTGCCTGGGACCAGCGAGCGTCCCGTGCACCTGCAGTGAGCTCTCTGTGTGCGCGCGGCCGGCCGCCGGGTCAGGCGTCAGCCGGCCCCCGCGTGCGGCAGCCGCTATGCATGGTCGGTGGTGATTGTTATCGACGGGCTGTTTGATGTCGTGGCAACGTGAAATATATCTGTACGGCTGGACTGTGCACAGTGGTCTGCTCCATCTCCGGCCATCTTCCTCTGCAGTGCCGGCTCGCCAACTGGCGGATGTAGGCTGACGAGCAGCGCCATAGCTGACCACTGACCAGAGCCGTCGAGCCGACCGTCTTCTCCGCCTGTACCGACGGCAGTTCCCGCTGGGAGCGTGGGCCCTCCGCAGTGTCATTTATTAGGACTCTGGGCCTGACTGTCCCACGCCTCCCCCCCCGCCCCGGCCCCAGTCAGCCCTCCCCCCCCCCCCCCGCCCCGGCCCCGGTCTGCCCGCCTGGTCTGGTCTGTCCGCTGCCCGGTGTACGACAGTATTGATTTCACGGGCGTGCTAGTCAACAGCTACGACTGCACGCACCAACACACTCCACCCGGGAACGATCTACAGTTTACACTAACCAAGGCCCTATATACCAGGTAGGGTCGTCCGGCGATTCTACCTTTTCGTGACGTCAGCTCGTGACGTCATTTGGAGTCAAGTCTCGAAGCCCCGTTCAATCCCCATGTAAATGAGCGATTTTCGAAGCACTGTAGAATGAAGTCTGCACAAGATATATCAAACCTTAGTATGTTATCTGAAAGAGCAGACAATTTTCTGCAAGTTATCTATTACGTGTTTTTCGCTAAATCTTTTGCTTTTTTCACAAAAGCGTAAAATGTCCCCCCATGTCTCCGCAGCCTCCCTGCCGCCGGCCGCCGCGCGGTCGCGGTAGTGTAGTGGTTAGCGTGCCCGCGCAGTATTCCAAAGGTCCCGAGTTCGAATCTATGCGGTGCGGAACTTTAATTGCAATTCCAAGCTGAATATACGCACATCCATAATAAATTATTATTCGTATAGCTAAACTGTCACCAAGCTATCCATATAAATTGACTTCACCCAAAATATCGGCAAGATTCTATTGAAATATAAATTCAAATATGGCGGCTTGGACTGCCGCGTGCTTTAGGCTCCGCCCATTGCTCCGCCCACATGCGTGACGTCATTCGTGTTAGTGGACACACGCGGAGATAGGGGACGACACGGGCCTGACACTAACCCAGCCAATTCTTGGCACACATGAGACCAGTAAAACGCCTTTTGGGGCGATCGACGGAGCGAGTGAGAGGATGGGCCTTGCACGTGCGAAATTGCGAGGGGGTACCTCCAACTAACTGATGGACTGCACCCTACCAACCGGTCTCTAGCGATGTGCCAAATTTGAGCGCAATCAGCCTAGCCGTTCTCGAGATCTGGAAGCGGCACCCTGCACGTGCGCACGTGCAAATGGGTCGCAACTGACTTTTGCACGGCACCCTACTAATCGGTCCCTAACCATATACCAAATTTCAGTGCAATCGGTTCAGCCGTTCTCGAGATCTAAAATCGACTCCTGTACGTGTGCACGTGCAGCAGCACCCCAATTGTGGCACATGGATATGCGTTGCCTAGTGGGTGCCTACCTACATGCCAACTTTCAGCGCAATCGGCCCAGTAGTTACCGAGATATTGCAACTTTTACAAAACTGACATCTCTTCGTTTTGCACGTGGCACGTGCAAAAGGGGTCACCCACATGCATCGGGAATAGTCCAATACTTAGTAGAAGGAATGCAGGTACCATATAAAAATTACCGCTTGTAAATCGGTCAAGTGGTTGCTGAGATATAGGCGTGGCAAAAGCGTGACCACGGCCGGCCGGCCGGCCGCTCATATTCAGAAATTTCCGTTATTCTACGTAAAGGTCTGGCTACACTATGCGTTTTCTGGGTGCGTTTTTTGCGGGTTTGCGTTTTTTGCGTATTATCGTTAAAGAAAAAAATATAGATAATATAAATTTTACATTAGTTATATACAAAAATTAATATAAAACTTATATCACCTAAAATGTGATATAAACATCACAAAAACGTAATATAGTTAGTTATTTTTCTATAAAGATATTACGCAAAACACGCAAACCCGTAAAAAACGCACGCAGAAAACGCATAGTGTAGCCAGGCTTTAAGACTCCGCTCGCTTCGCTCGCTCCGAAATTATCGTCAGTAAATCTGGGAACTTTCTTCGGATTGAAAAAGTAGGTAGTACCTGCATGTGTATGGGGCGTTTTAACCCGCACTCCTTTGAGAAATTCCCAGACCCTACCACCCGTGGGAGGGGGAGGGGGTGTCGACCTCCCATCCCCAAGATATCAGAAAGCTACCTACTGATTTTCAAAACTCAAACGGTGTTTGCTAGCCCCACCGGGGATCTATCATGTGAGTAAATTTCGCTGAGCCAGGTCAACTGATGACGTCACAGATTTGGTCAAAGATCTAAAAAGAGCCCGGATATCTAAAAAGAGCCCGATCACAATCTGGCTATCAGTCCGGAGCCGCTCTAGCCGCGTGCCCGGCGGCCCCGTACTCCATCGCTGGCTCCCCGGCTGGCAACACGGACTCTGCTCCATCTAGAATGTATTGTTCGTCCAAACCAACACGGGAGCTAGTCCATGGCACACAGTCCTCAACTAGCGGTGAAGGTCAAACGTATTTAATTTCACGTTTATTGATATTCTGATCACGTCAAAATTTGTTCTGCTGACATCTGAACCTTTAATGTCAATAACTTATCAACAGGGACACCGCGCTGACACTAGGATAAACTTAGACATCACGCAGTGCCGAAATCGAGATATCTTTGGTTCTTTGAGCGTGACTGCACGTATTGGCTCCGGCTGTGTTTCTGAGCCGAGTTTGAGCCGGTGCCCGGTGCCTGGGGTGGGTGGGTGGGTGGCGGCCCCGGCCCTGCTCCGCCATGAGCTGCCGTTATTGCTGTACGTGCTGCACGTGACGCCTCGTCAGACCGGCAGAGTCTGGACGGCCGGGGCCTCGCCGGCTGCAGGAATGGACCGAAACGGGCCGGCGGGCGGCACCTCACCTTTCGCCTCGCAGCCACCTACACTTGCCGACGGGCTTCACAATAACAGAACATTCATCCATTCAGACGCAAGTACCAGCATATATCTATGCACTGACGCGCAACAGATGTTCCCGCCCGCTCCGAACATGGCAGCAGATTCTCAGTGTACCCCCCCCCCCTCTGACCAGACCACAGAACGTACGAGTACAAAGGCAGGGACAGGGTGGCTCGGGCGCTACTCGCCTGGAACGGCTACAGCCGCCTGCTCAGAAGGCGATGTCTTGCAAAGCCTTCGGAAATTAAACACGGATGCGAGCCTACCGTACACATCGTACTTACACAGGGATACAAGCTCTCCGGGCGGGTCTACGTGCGATGCTGCAGACCTGCGTCAACATTTACTCTACCACGACCGCTTCGAGTAATAAATACATCACACTTGTTATGATATTGACAAAAGCAAGGACCACCACACGACGAATACATTGATCTGCGCAGAGCTGCGCGCCTCAGACCGTCTGGGCGCGCTGCCGCACCGCCCAGCGTCCCTGGGCACTGGGCCGCGCCCTCCAGGGCAGGGTGTCGATCGGGGCTACCGGCCTCCGGCGCGCCCGCTGAGAACTGCTTGTAGCTGTTTTCACCGCTGAGTGGTATAGCAGGCATGGCAGACCCATACCGGGCTTCGGGAATGTTTATTGTTTACTGTTCAGAGTTCAGACATGTGCCTCTCGTACTTTCATCTCATTCCTAGACGTCTATGTACCTCTGCATATGAGCAAATATACAGTAGACACGGTATAAGGAGTCATATGACTCGAGCTGTCAACCGGAGAAGACTAATCAATGTGTGGTGTGGTTTTCCAAAGCTACCGCTGTGAGATCTATAGCGCATGTCGCCCGGTGCGGCAGCTGTATCGCCGCGGGGTGCACGGGCAGCCTGTGGTGGAGCGTTGCACCAGCGCGTTTCACTCCGCTGCCGCTGCCGCGGCGGCGACGGCTGCGGCGGCTCTACCAGGCGTAGGCGGCGGCGGCGGCGCTCTCGGGCTGCGGCGCGTGGTAGATCAGCTGCGGCTGCGGCGCCTTCACCACCATGCCGTCCCGCAGCTGCCGGTTGTACGTGTCCGTGAACTCCTGTCCGGAGAGCAGACGGGCACACGGTCATCGAGCCGGCTGGCCACCGCATGGGCACCATTTGGTGCGCAAGTCACAAATATACCACACAAAGGCGTTGTAAATTTTTCCTAAAAACTACAGATTTTCGCTGCAGGCTGCTGATTTACAGGCGTAAGCCAGATGGGGGCTGGTTAGAGTTTATTAGGCCGAAGTTCTGCCATATAGCGGATGAAACGTTGCGCTGTCGTTGAGTTTTTGACGGCAAAGGTCAGCTGAGTCCATGTTCGTCCTAGAATGAAGAGCTGTCTATTTCAATATAGCAATTGATAGCTGCACCGTTCTTTCATTTTTAGTTCATAGTTCGTCCATAGCCGTCACCTGACAGCTGTTGCTCCACTCTTCACAATTATCAACACATGATCCCATATAATGCGGAAATGGCACACTACTGGAAAAAATGAGACTATAAGCTCCATTAGAACCGCGCGTCCCACGCACACACATACACCGGCGCCCCGGCTCCCATCCCGTTTGTAGGTATGGACATTGGACAGCCCGGCGCTGCCGGCCGCGCGCTCACCTTGAAGTTTCGGCGCGTGAAGGAGCAGTCGGCCGGCTCGTCGGCGTACTTTTCCGTGGCGATGGCATCCAGACGGAGCTTCTCCTCGTTGTTGTTGAGCGGCAGGAACGGGTTGTGCGGGTTGGTTGTCTTCAGCGCGGCGTAGTTGTAGCCGCCGCCGTTGCCTCCGCCGCCTGTCCCGCTCATGTCTCCAGCAGTGAATGGGTTAGTGCCACCTAGAAAAAAGAAAACAGCGTGCTGGTTATGTTTCTTCGGGAATCGTATCCACATTCCACACAATGTCGTTTTCATATGGTGTATGCATCTACATAAGCGAGTAAAACGAAGACACTAGCGAAATGATTTGCTGTATCAAGCATCAAGATATTGCAGGTCACTGGGCAGTGCTGATATTAAAGCCATTTCAATAATGTCCTGGGGCGGTGCGGTGTGCATCTCTGTGGCTCTGTGGTGACTGGTGCGGACTGCGGGGCCGACTCACCCGGCGGCGCCAGCGTGCCGTCCTGGGCGCGGTAGTTGGTCGAGCCGTAGCCGGGCTCCTGGTCGTGCAGTCGGGACGAGGACAGCGCCCGCGGCATGGGGCTGGCCGGCACTCCGTGCGGCGCCAGCGCACCGCCCTCGTCGGCCATCTGTCGGCACGGCGCGGCCCTGAGGCGGACACCGGACACACACAGGGGCGGGCACAGGACACACACAGGGGCGGGCACAGGACACACACAGGGGACGGACACGGGACACACACAGGGGCGGACACAGGGCACACACAGCCCGGCCCTGAGGAGGACACACGGACAAACAGAGGTATAGTCGACTACAGAATGATGTTCCACTCCTCAGAAGCTATCAGTTGACCGGAGCGCTAAGTTGTGCCGTTTATCACGCAATTAAGCGTGTCGATTGTGAGCATTGGGACAAAGCTATAATTTGTGAACTCAGCCCGTGTGATGCGGCACAGCCTATCACTCCAGGCAAATAATTGCCAGTGAGAAGTGGAACATCATTCTCTTGTCGACTATACACACGGAGCCGACACAGGACACATACGGCGCGGACACACACGGCCCGGTCCTCAGCGCAGAGTGGACACACAAAACACGGCACGGCCGGAGTCCTGAGAATTTCTAAATAGTACTTTTCATTTAAGTGACGATCCCAACTTGACATTAGTTTTGAGTTGAGATAGCCAAATTGGGGTCCTTTGCTCGCAATTACCGGTTTGGGTACTCACAACATCGAGAAATGCCTTAAAAAGGAAATCGATAATTTCAAAGTCTGAAGCGCTCTAACTCAGAGGGGCTAATGCATTTGAATGCCCCCGCTGATTTTGTGACGTCTGTGCAGACTTAGCGATTTTTAAATCAGATACTAAACTTTGGTAAAAGGCGCACCCTAAAGCCCAAATTAGCAACAATAAGACCTTATTAAAAGACAATTGTCGCCGTGCTAGTATATGGTGCTACTTTGCGCGCAACATTTGTCGCACTTTTAAGAAACCAAATAATTGCTTCCAAGTCCTCTAAATTTTGATATTTTGAATTAACCCTCGCATGTGTAGAGGGGGGGGGGGGGGTCGGATGGACCCCATGGGGGGTCGGATGGACCCCCATGGTTTTTCGCGAATAACTCGCGCAAAAAGCGGCCGATTGCGACGAAACTTTCAGTACCCTTGTATTGACCAATTTTACACCTACCCTGAAATTTTCATGACCCTGACCCAAATAACCTTTGACCTGTGACCTCTTTTCCGATACCATGTTTGACCGGAATCGCGATGTCGCGTACTGTCGGCTCGCATTAGCCGCGCGTTTGCAAGCTTTTCGTGGTTTCAAACGTTCAACATGTCATTTGATGCTGCTCCCCTCAAGGTCACCTGACGGTCAGGTCAGGTCATTGACCTTTGGTGACCTCGGTTCACTTTTTCGAGTTTTACATGTTTCTAGGCTAGTTTTTGGAGCTGAATTCGAATTTAGCAACCATTTGAACATTTAAGAAGTAGTTTTGGTGACTTCGTAACATGTCACGAAGCTGTCAGAGGCGGTTGACACGTACTACGAATACCCGTCACGACGCCTACTGGTTGACCTGACCTGACCTGACCCGACCTGGTCTTAATGCTTAAAGACATCATCTGTGATCAAAACTAACACGATATTCGTGATCAGCACCCCGAAAAACCCCTTAGCAGCCACACTTTACGACTTTCTAACAGGTCCCGATTTTTCCGACTTTGGGTCATTGACCTGGCTTGGAAGGTCAACCAATGACCTAGGACCTTAAAATTGGGTATTATCGGCTTCCTCTCGTCACGGCAACACGCTCGTTTTTTTCCGCAAGCTCTAGCTCAATCAGGGGCCAAACGGCAAAGGGGGGGGGGTGTCTAACCCCCCCCCCCCCCCGACACATTAGAAGCTGGCAAACGCCGCACACATGCGAGGGTTAAGAGACCATTCTGACAAAAATTGGCGCTTGCGCTGAAATGTCTATTCTCAAAATTTCCAGCTGGTTGGACAAGAACTGAAGAAATTATCACCGAAAAAGGGTATTATGGGGTCTGAAATGCATGTAGCTAACTGCATACAGCTTACCTGACGAGGGTCCTCGCTTGGGTCCAGATTGGTTTGGAAGCCGGTGTCTTTCTTGTAGTAGTTAATAAACACAAACAGTGCCAGCACCAGCAGCGACAGGAAGCCGTAGATCCGGAACGTGACCTGGGAGCCTGTGGAGCGACAGCACGTGGCAGGAGCCGGTCAGCGGGACCGGCCTGCAGCACTGCCAGCTAACGGCACCGCGAGGGACCGGCCAACAACACCTCCCTGCGGCACTGCCTGCATAAAGGCACCGGGAGGGACCGGCCAACAACACCTCCCTGCGGCACTGCCTGCTAAAGGCACCGGGAGGGACCGGCCAACAACACCTCCCTGCAGCACTGCCTGCTAAAGGCACCGGGAGGGACCGGCCAACAACACCTCCCTGCGGCACTGACTCAGAACCTGCTAACGGCACCGGGAGGGACCGGCCAACAACACCTCCCTGCGGCACTGTCTCAGAGCCTGCTAAAGGCACCAGGGGGACCGGCCAACAACACCTCCCTGCGGTACCGCCACAGCGACATGGGAGCCTAAATGGTAACCTATGGTAAACCTATGGTAAAGGCAAAAGGCATTTTCACGACGGGTTGTATAGCAAGTGCACCAAACTTGACAAAATCTAACCACATCTCTTTTATCTTCATATCATGAATATCTTTCAGTGTTTTATTTCAAACAATGTTATGTTTGAGGCTTAAAAAATAAGATATATACCTAAGCATCTAGTGCAATGTAAGTTGAACACTACTAACAACCAACTACATGTGAGCCTTATTTGACCAAATCGCATCAATTGCGATTAATTGTGTGCCAGATAACTGTCGTGAAAACGGCTAATTTCTATTTGTGGGTTTCGTAGGTGACTGCAGGGGCCTTCTAACCACTTTCGGCCCCTGACAGGGCCCTGCCTGACAGACGGGTGTGTTGTACACAGTACCATGCACATCTCACATTTGTGCAAACTGTGTTGTAGCAGGTGCGGCATGCATATTGACCTCAATGTTGTGGGTTTCGGTCAGTGCCTGCGGGTGTGCGTGTCACCCTGACAGACGGCAGGGGCCGCGCAGTCGCCGTCCCGTGGCCTCACCTATGTAGTTGATCATGATGCCGCCGAAGATGGCGCCGCTGCCCTTTCCGAGCGCGTGCTGGATCACCTGCAGCACGCCCTGCGCCGACTGTCGGTTCTCTGGCACGGCATGGTTCAGGTACGACACGCACGCCGCCCACGTGGACGCGTGCGTGATTCCTGGCAAACAAGCAGCCGTTGCCAGCGTGAGCAGCGGTGCCCTACCGTGACAACGCTAAACCAAATGTCTTGACACATCAATCCGCACCGTCTAGGCTGCCTGTGAGACAAAGTCATGCAATATGTGGAAAGCCGTATCCGTTAATCATCTGCATACAGTGGCAGATCCAGGGGGGCAAAATGGGCATTTGCCCCCCAAACGGCATAATTTTAACATTATGCCTAGGGACGAGGCATGCAAAGAATCGATAAATTGTTATGGTTTGCCCCCCCCCCCCCCCAACTCTGAGCTGGATCCGCCTCTGTCTGCATATATTCGTAATAGGGTACTGACTGCAAAAATTCCCGTCCGACGTCCGGACTCATTCCAGCTTCGAATGAGCAGAACGCATCACATTACACCACAGTCAAATTAAACAGTTTCAGCTGGGTAGACTGCACCGCATTACACCAGAGTCAAATAACCAGTATCAATTGTAGTTACAAAATATGAACTAGTATTGTATCGTGAGTTCATGAACCTCCACGAATCAAACTATCAAAACATTTACATTACAAAACGCTACAAAACAGGCGTACCGGTTTCTTCTATTGACTTCTTCAGCGCCGTTGTATCGAAACACATCTTTCCACATCAGCCCCTTATTTCGATACAACGGCGCTGAAGAAGTCAATAGACGTAAATGTTTTGATAGTTTGATTCGTGGAGATTCATGAACTCTCGATACAAAACAGTATCAAGTAGACTGTACCGCATTGCACCAGTCAGGTGGAACTCTGCTGCAATGCAAGCTCTTTTGAGTGTTTTCTTGCTTCAACAGATAGAAAGGGTGAGAAGAAAATGTCAAAGCCGTTGACGAAAAAGAAGAAAATGTAATTGTGCATACAAAGGAGTTGAGAGCACGATGAGCAAAACGGCACAAGCCGATAAGGTGCAGAAAAAGTCAATAAAAGAATATCGTTATAGGTACCTACTTATATCGTGCATACATAAGTTTCCCGATCAGAGATAAATAGGTAAGTGAAACCATAAAGACCATAAAGCAGAGAAAGAAAGCCTAAGGCAAACAACTTCGGAAACAGGTGTTCATTATTTATCACACTATTTTATTCAATTAACCTTTCAAATTACATAACTAATGCATTTAAATAGCCAAGGCATGCAGGGGCAGTGGCGGTGCAGGGGCCAGGCGATGCAATTAGCCCAGCCCCACCCGATACTGAACTGAAACGGGACCGAGATTTGTATTGAACTTCGTAACCCGCGCCCCGTTGGAGTATTTCCGTACCCGAGCACCAGTGATGGTGGTGGTGGTGGGGGGGGGGGGCATTTAGCCCCGCCGCTCGGAAGATCTCGGAAAGCTATACCGACCGATTTTCAAAATTCGTACCGCATTCGAACTCGCACCACATGAACTACCAGAAAAGCAGGCGAAATTTCACTTCTAGGTCACTGACGATAACGCCACAGGTCAGGTCAAAGTAAGAATATCGACATGTTAGCATGTTCACACTTCGGGCTCTGACCACCGCTAGACAAGTGACAACGAGTCCACTTTTGGTTTAGACATTTCTAAATGCAAATTGAAGATACAATCAGGGTACCGATTCGAAATCGTACTTGGCATGCTTCAGCTAAAAACTAGGTCACGCTAGGTTATAAAAGGCCATGGGAGTTTTAAGGTATGCATATCATCGACACATGTTTACGGTTTAATTTGGCGATATACTTCAGCGACAATGTCGTCCATGCCGTTCAAAGTCATTTTAAGCCCGTAAATGTGAAGGTCAAGTCACGGTCATGTCGTAAAAAGTCACATTTTTCAAGCTGAATTTTCTGTACCAAAAAAAGTTCCTATCGGACCCAGTTTGAGCTTAGAGGCACGATGGTGCTGTTTTTGTGCAAGATTCCTTTACTACTCAGGTTGGTTCACTAGGGAAATAAAGGCGCCGTGGTGACGTCACCAGAGGAAATCCTTCACGTTCAAATGAAGGGGTCATTTGAATTGGTGATTTTGGCTCGATATAGTCCTATTTTTTAGTTTCAGCTCCATTTATCGTAATGAGGCGAACTCATTGTCACGTTGGTACAACTTTTGATGACACATAATCCTTGTTTTTTCTCCAGCTCGCTCGAAAGATGATGAAATTTGCATGCATGCCCATGGGTGAAGGGAGATTCTACCGCCGTGGTGACGTCACGGTAAAGGGATTCTGGAGCTCGTGAACGGGGGCTGGTTTTTGTGTGGTTACTGAAAAGTACATTGAACATTTTGACAATGGTGAAAAAAGACTACGGTAAAATGTAAAAACGGATAACTTTCCCGTTTCTGAAGCTATTTGGCTTCGATTTTCTTGGATGCTTCATCTGTACGTGTTTTATCATATATATCTAACATATCCAAGTTTTTTAACAATAGGTCAATATTAAAGTCGAAATTGCAAAAAATGGCATATATAATTTTCCTAAATTCCAAAATACCAAAATCTGAGGCTGTATCTTGATAGGTTGCATTTGAATCTACAATCAGACAATCACCTCACGCAACAAAAAGAGCGCTAGCTTGAAAACTGGTCTCTTGAGAGCGATTGAAGTAGAGCCATGTCTTGCATTAAAAATGACCGAATATGAAGTCACTCTGTAGTCATTTCCGGTCGTTCTGTTGAGGTCTTAATATTTTTTTCAGGATGTGCACTGTGCATAATTGTTGCCGAAAAGTGTATGCAAACTTTGGTGGCCCAATTGGCCTTCGTTTAGAAGGTATGAGGAATGGCGTTTTTTCGGACGCCGCGCCGGTGAAAACAGGGCGCCGGAGGGCATATTAGTCACATGACATTTGGAACTTCTCCCCCTAACGTGGGCCTTCTACATACAAAACGTCACGTGTGAATTTCACGAACCTTGATCAAATCGCCCCAGGCGCCCTGTTTTCACCGTCGTCCGTTTTTTCGCCCCATCCCCGCAACGGGGCGCGGGGTAGAGTCATGATGTTTTGACCAGTTTTGACAAGAATCTGGCCCGATCTTACCAATGCCGTAAATAGGATTTGGCAGCACTGGCCGGAGTTTGCTGCACTGATATCAACTTTATCCTTTTTATTTACATAGCTAATCTTTTCCTTCCAATGATTTTGACAGTGTGAGTGATTATGAATGTTGCCTGAACGAATGAATGAGTGAATGTGGAATAGTTCTGAATGGTACCAAATGCCGTGAATGCGTATTCACGGCATCTGGTAAGATTGGGCCTTGGTTTTGACATGCAACCCGCTCCCCACTAACTAGGGGGGCTATTCATAGCTCCCTTCTCGTTGTTCTGCAATAACTTAAAACCTGCTTGGCGTATCGACGCAAAACTTTCAGTACCTTTGGTTGCATCAATTTGACATCTTGTGTCAAAACCAGAACTTCGTACTTACCATAGTTCGGCCGGAAATGACGTCAAAGTGACGTCATGTTCGGCCGATTCCGATGCAAAACATTGAGCTACGGCAATGGCTCTCAAGAGGTCAGTTTTCAAGCTATCCAATTGATTTGCATGAGAGGACTCAAAATCCACGAGGCTACCAAACTGTTATCTCGTATTTTCAAATTTATAAAAATTTTGAAAATAATTTAAATATATTTAAAATCAAATGACATCTTTGTCTTCTTCTATAAGATTTTACTTTTCAAAAAACTTTATGTGATAGAACAAATACCGGTGATTTACTCTAGAAAGTTTGAGCCCGATATCTTCAAAAATAGCCAAGTTATATGCATTATATGTAGTCAAAATTATGTACACTATTATAAATTTGTCAAATCACTTTTTCAGTACGTTTTTTTACATCGTACGTCAATATATTTCTGAGCTTAAGCTGCATCCGATATACCTTCTTTGTTGAAAAATTTCAACTTAAAAATTTGACCCTTTTCACCTGAAAGTGACCTGACCTCAGCTATATTCAGCTGAAAATGACCTCGAATGACACAGACAACACTGATTTTGAAATATCTCGCCTAAATAGACCATAAAACATGTGTCACATGACCGATGCAGAGCCCTAATTGTGAACAAGCCAAACATGGATATTTTTTATTATGGCATGACCTGTGACGTCAACGTTGACATCGAACTCAATGAAATTAGGTTTTCTTTCGACAATTTTTCCGGGGGTATCAGACACCGTTTGAATTTTGACAACCGGCCCAGTAGTTTCGGAGTTAGGAGGATGGGGAAGGGGTGCTATGAATAGCCCCCAACCCCTGGAAGGGCGCGTTATACACAGACCCCAGTGGGGAGCGGGTTAAACTGATTTGGGGATTGTCACTTTCTTACCTTGGATGAGTTCAAATGGCAGCACCCACCAGGGGTTCGTCAGCCAGGAGATGTAGAGAAATCGCAGAACGTTGGCCGTCAATCCCAAACAGAGAATCTGTCGAGTGTTATTTGCTGGTTACTTCTTTCAGTCATGGCGAATAATTTGTTATCTCTTATTACCTAACTAGGGGAAGCGGGGGGAACACCGCCACTGTGGGAAGCACCGCCACCCCATCTGGCGGTGCTTAGGTATAGGTTCATCATAGGTATAGGAAAGTATGAAATGTGAAGTGTAAAATTCCGTTATTTCCTATTAACCCATTAATGACCAAGCATATAAATACGGCGATATTTGATATTTCGAATGGTGTTCCGATGGTTTTCGACGTCACTGATTCCAGCTGTGGCATTGGTTTTACCCTAAAAAATTTCGAACTTGGTGAAAAATTATGTTCCCATTTGGGAACATTGGGCACAAATGGGGGGTAAGAGGCGTATGCAGTATGCGGATAGAAACGAAGAAAGCAACAGTAGAAACACATATTATACAACGTTTTAAAGAAGGGCTTTTTCTTCTTTTTGACCTTGTCACTATCCACAATGAGATCGTGGTCTCACTTCACTGATCGACCCTTGTCAACACACATTTTTGACACCCAAAGTCGTTTTATTCTACTCTTACGGTAGAGCGAGACATTTAGAACGATAAATCAGAAGCCAGCGACACCAGTTTTCCATCCATCACCAAAGTGTCTCACCTGTCGAAGCGAGACATCATCTCAAGCCTGTGTCGCGCCCGTTGCTCGGGATTAGTCAGCAGTGTCAGAGCATCAGTGTATACTACATATGCGTCTGCAGTGCCAGCCCCGTGGCGGCAGCCTAGGTGTGGTAGTTCTGGCTGCAGTGGTTATGCAGTCGTACTTGGCAGATGCTACACATTGTACGCGTATTTTTTTGACACAGCTTGCAGCGGCCTTGAGTGGCAGCCGGGACGATGAAGTGGTTTTGTGCAGTCCGGGAGACCGCCGTCACCCGGCCGCTGCTGGGTCCTGGTCCGCTGTCGGTGACGTTTGGCGGTCATGGCTCTTGCCTCGGTATTTTAGGAGCTCCAAAGCGACCTCGCGAGTGAACACCAGCTGGTCCACACTTCTCCCGGTGCAGCTGCGGTACATGGGCCAGCTGGCTACTCTCAGTAGACCGAATGCGTTGGTGACGAGCGTACCGTACCATTTCTTCATTTCTTCCACCGGATCACAGGCCTGTAAGCCGCCACCGCTCCGTCCACTAGGTCTACGCCACCCATGTACTGGTTATATTCGTATATGTATGAGGTTCGGCTGCTTGACCGTCACCTTTTTTCTTTTCGTCACCCGACCAGCGCTGCATGTCTTTGAGTGGGCTGATGCCCGAGTGATTTGTGACCACTGTCACTGCCCTGTTGTCTCTCCACTTCACGGCCAGCACCCCGTTAGTGGATTGGTACCAATGCTGTCCCCTGGGCGCCTTTTCAGCAGTTTTGTTGTCAGGCAGGGGACACTTCTTCAGCCTGTTGTCGCGCACAGTGCCCGTTGCTCGGATGCCTCTTTGACGGAGAGCTACCATCAAGGCATACGACGAGAAGTAATTGTCAAAGAACACATGATGCAAGGCAGGCGTCTGAAGACATTCCAGGAGCCGAAGAACGACATCTCCGCCCAGCCCAAGAGACTCGCACCCTGCTCTGCCCTCACCTGGCCCAGCGTTCTTGACTCGTCGATACCAATGACCCTACTCCATTCGCTGACATTGGCGCCGACGGATATAACACTGGACTAGACGACGCTCTATCATCCGAGCATCAGTAACGTGAGCGATACTGTCACTTGACACACCGGGTGTAGGACCTAGCGTGAGAGCAGAACCAGCCAGAGAGGACGTGCAAATTGAGTCAGTGGAAATTGAAAACAAGTGAGAGTGAGAGAAAGAGAGGGAGGGAGGAAATGGGAAATGGAGAGAGAGAGAGAGAGAGAGAGAGAGAGAGAGAGAGAGAGAGAGAGAGAGAGAGAGAGAGAGAGATGAGAGAGCGCGAGGAGAGAGAAAAAGAGCTTCGCTTTTGCCTTCCAATGTCAGTCCATTATGAGCTGACATACCAGTGGATGTGCCCAATGTTCCCATTTGGGAACATCCAAATTTTGGAAGCCCCCGACGCTTTTGTGGTGAAGCATTTCTTTTGATATTTCTCCCGTACAATTGGAACTTATTGTTGAAGCATTACTGGAAATTATAAGGAAATCTATCAAGAAATCGATTTTAAGGAAATTATTTTCTTGATGAAGGTACAGTGTGGCAAAAAAGGGCTATTTCAAAAATCAAGAGAGGTGCTTTATAAGGGTGAAATTCAAGTTTTTTAGGCTGCTAAATTTTGTTCAGGGCTTCAGATGCCAGAACCAATATTCATAATCGCTGTGCAATCCCAGGATCAGAGCCTAGAGCCAAAATTGTCGATGTTCCCAAATGGGAACATTGGGCACTAATGGGTTAACCGCACGAAGGTAAGCGTCTTCTGATTTGTGTTCCGGTGTTTCAGTGTAATCGAAGCTCAATGTGGACATTTAAAGAAAAATGCACATTCTCTTATAAAAATTCGATGAGTTGGGAGCACTTTTGAATGTCTTTAAGTAGAGACTCATTTTGATTTACTTGATTACAACGAAAAATAACTGATCGGCTTTGTCCAGTAAGATAGGTTTGCTTGAACCGTGTAGTACATTCTTGCCGCTAGCGATTTTTGCTTGTGATCGCTTATTGGGGAACACCGCCACCCCGTGACGGTGTTACCCCAATTGAGGTTGCGGTGTTTCCTGTTCGTAGCGTGATAAGTGATGAAACTCCGAAGACACGCTTTATTTATGTTCGTAGATGTTCCTAAGTCGGGAATAAGCAGCTTATTTGATTTTTTTACTTTATATTTTTCATGCATCCCGACCAAGCACTTGCCAGCTGTATAAAACTGGCAAACAGCTGATGAACCTATACCTATTTAGGTGTCCATTACCGATTATTTGCGAAAATTACCACTTACCGACAGGAAACTCATCGCACGCGATCTCTGAACAATTAAAAGCTTTCGTAGGAATGGGTTGGGTTAACATCAACACCGGTGGCGGGGTTACCCACACAATTTGTAGGCGGCAAATATGCAAGGTATTTTTAAAAGTCGTGATACATGAAAACCTTTTAGGAGCATGCAAAATAAGTACCTAAAACACGTGAGAAAATGTTTAAATATTGTAACCAAGACAATAACTACCAAGAGACTTCACACATATTCTCTCATTTTGGCGAAAAGCTTAGGGGGGCGGTGTTACCCCCGCTTCCCCTATACTCTAGTGATGCAAAGCAAGTTAATTGACAAACATTTTACACATCGTTAAATGCAACGAAACTTAAATTATCATTTTCAATTAAATGTTTTGAAGCTTCTGAACATCTAATCTATGATACAGTGGGCTCGAATGAAGCCAGAAAAGATCCATGAACAGTTTCGATCCTCATGGTTCATTGGTTCTTCCACTTATGCTCCCAGACTTCCAGCACTAAAAGTTATATTTATATTCTCGTACAATGGTTTTATATAACTACATTCTTTCATGTGCTTGCATGTCATACCTTAACGTGACCGTATTGGTTGATGAGACGGAAGCAGAAAAAGTAGGCGAAGATCTCAGAGATGTGGTTTATAATAGAGGCGATACCAAAAACGGTGGGAGTGCCACCAAAGTCCTGAAACACATTAAGATGTCGTTTGCGGGGGACAGTGGACACACACTTAACTCAAAAATATTTTTAAGTGAAATTAAAGAATAAAGATATTCAGATTGAGTAGGTACCTATTTAACATAGCAGTTACAAGTTAGGATATTATTTGGGATAGCCTTGCTTATCAATGCAGGAGGCTTGCTTATTTTTCGGAATGTCCTCGCCTATTTATGACATCTTAGATCAACTACTGATTATTTTACGCTTATTGTCCGTGAAAACATAAGATAGTCATGCTACTTTCTGCTGCCAATTATGCTTGCTTCCTAAACATTCATTTATGTATGACAAAACATCAAACACACCAAGCCTCTCTTTTGATTTTTTCCGTAGGCTCAAAAGTCGCAGTGCCTCAACTCAAGGGTGTTCGGCACCCAGTCTCAATAAGCTGGCACGCCAACTCCAATGATTGTCGAGCTCCCACCTGGAGGTGCCAGAACAAAAAGGCGAAGATCAGGCCCATGCCGATGCCCATCCACCAGGAGATGAAGAGGAAGGCCATACAGCGCACGTTCTTGAGCTTGTTGAAGACGATGGTCCACTCGGGAGTCTTCATCATGGTGTTTGCGAACACCCGACTCTGCAGGGACAGCGGCAGTGGGCAGACGTGGCAGTGGCTGTTTCACATCTATGTCATCGGCCAGCTGCCAAATGCAGGTGTGCATGGAACGAGACCAGGGTAGGTACAATGGACACTGGACACCCCTCCGCACAGCTTACCAGCGGCACTGGAAACGAGAAAATCGACCACCAAAGTTCCCTCAATCCAAATGTTGTTTCGATTTTCCAGCTTAGTTATGAAGGTACCCCGAGTAGAAAATGAAGTAACAGCGCCACAGCAACATCAGCATTCATTAATAGCAGAACCATAATAACACAGTTCTTTTATTGCCAGTTGTTTTGTATTGAACACTATTAATTAGCGTAGCGTAATCCTGCCAATTTTCATATTCAAATCGACTTGTCAGTTAGTGCATCAGCCAGTATGTGTGTCGTGGTCGTCTTAACCGGCAGCTTATTACAGCCGGCAGACACCCGGACTGTGCCGCGCACCTTTAGCTGCGGCAGGCTCTTCATGGCCTCGCGGATGGCGTCCCTCTGCGACTGCTGCGGCTCCGGCTGCGGCTTCTGCCAGTCCTTGACGGGAGGCAGCGAGGCCTCGTACTTCTCCTCGGCCGTGGGCTCCTTCTCCGGCTGTGCAGCGACCAACGGCAGCCGGCGTCAGTCACACCAGCACAGCGGCCAACGGCAGCCGGCGTGGCGTCAGTCACACCAACGCAGCGACCAACGGCAGCCGGCGTCAGTCACACCAACGCAGCCACCCCAACGACAGCCACAACAACACACAAACGCAGCCACTCCAACACACCAACGACAGCCACACCAGCGACAACCAACCGACAACCAACGCAGTCACTCCAACGACAGTTATCTCAACACACCAACGCAGCCAACCCAACACACCAACGCACCCACACGAACGTCAGCCACCCCAACGACAGCCACACCAACACACCAACACACCAACACACCAACACACCTACGACAGCCACACCAACACACCAACACACCAACGCAGCCACACCAAGGCAGCCACACCAACACACCAACGACAGCCACTTCAACGACAGCCACTACACCAGCGAAAGGCACACCAACGACGACCACCTCAAGACACCAACGACAGCCACACCAACACAGCCACCCCAACACACCAACGCAGCCACTCCAACGCCAGCCGGCATCAGCCATGCCCCACTGCCCGGCTCCGTATTGGTTAGGCTGTCGGCTACACCCGACAGCTCAACATCTCACAACATTGCCGGCTGCCGTACGCTAAATATTACAAATGGCTAATTGTTGTCATCACTGGGCGCACTGGTCTCATGCGAAAACTATTGAATACCTAACCTTTGTTTTCGTTTATTAACCAAGTGGGGGAGTGCATCATGGCATTAGTTTTGCGATGCGTTAAAAAGCGCCGCGTCTGTGTTACAGGCCGCCTTTACCTGCTCCTCCTGTGAGTAGTCGAACTTGAACTGGGTGGCGATGATCAGCGCGCAGCCCATCAGCACGGAGAAGGTGGCGAAGCAGATGGTGTAGTTGCGCTCGCCGGCGTGCGGCGTGCACGGGTGCCGGGTGAACGAGGTGCTGTGGTCCAGCGCTATGCCCACAAAGAACATGGCCAGTCCCCAGCCGATGGAGCCGAACATGCGCTGCCTGCCGTAGTGGTCCGTGTCGTCGCCCAGGTAGGTGAGCACCACAGAGTCGGCCAGGGTGATGGCCGGCGCCGAGAAAAACTCGCCCAGCGTCACCAGCAGGAACGTCAGAAAAAACACCTTCTGGATGTCCTTGACGTTGTAGGCGATGCTAGAGAAGGGCGGCGCGCGCAACGTCTCGTGCTTGCTCTTGTCGTAGTTGGCGACGAACGTCATCTGAAATAAAGTAAGAACACAAAGCGCGGTTTAATTCAGTCTCTACTGATGGCCAACTATAGCGTATAAATGCACGTTGCATATCGCATATATCTCCCCTTCGTCCGGCCATTTAGCATAAGTGCACGAGCTACAGAATCAAAAGTGGTTCCAAAAGAACGATCTTTACCAGACGATTCCAAAGTAACTAAAAATTTTGACTTCAGGTCGATTTTCAAGGTCAGAGGTCAAGGTCATAGACAAAAACCGGCCCATGCGTAGTGAACTCAAAGTAAGTGTTGCAGAGGAAGGCAGGATGCATAAAACCGGCTAAAAAGGGTGTGAAACGAAAGAAGATAATATGAAGATTCCGATGAGGTGCTCAGTGTTAAAAGTCAGGGTTACGCCTAAATTGTCCCCAAACTTAACACTTGTTCGTATATCTTGCATACTAAATTCTAATATGTCTTGAAATGTTTTGAAGCTTTCCATGCCTCTCTTTGTGGTTCATCTTAGCTATAAGGCTGCTCCAAGGTCATAGTCACGGAAGAGAATCCTTGCCAGAGGCTATTTCACTGGTTCAATTCAGCCATAATAAAAAATAGCAATCTTGCAATCCCGAGAAAGCCGATGCCAGATTCGTGATCAACGGCTGCGAATACATCATAAACCACGTTATGTGTCAAGGTCAAGCAAAGGTCATTCGAGGTCATATGAGTTCAGCATGAAACTTGACCTCTTCCAAACAAAATATGTGTCATTCGACTCGGCCTCACAAGACAAATGCGTTGCTTCCACTGTCATATGTCTATTACCATTTTTGCTGAAGTTATTTGCAAAAGCCAAAACTCCAGCTCGGAGTCGTTGACCTGACCTCAGGTCACCAAAATTATGTTTGGATTCATTCCTTAGGTCAACCACTACAAAATCTCGCTGGTAAAAGAGATACCCTCGGCCCGGCGCGGTTAGCGCCGAGCATCGGCCCGGTGTGGGTTAATTTTTGCCTGCTACGCCCGAAGTCGCTAAAAGTCGCAAACAAGGACTGACGGATCTTGTATTGCAATGTTTCCTTGACATGTAGCGCGAGTTCCGCAGCGGAACTTTTGGGTACTTTTTTAAAAGTCTTTTTTTGTTTGTCTTCAAATACGTGAAATTATCTTTTCGTCTTTACATCTTTGCGGTACAAATACATCATAACCAAGTGACACTGCGCCATTATTTTCGGCTAGGAAATGTTGTTCAGGCACGGAGCTACCGTTTGGTATATATAAATGTGCAATTCCTCCTTACAGTGTGATTGTTTTCGTGGAGCAAAGATACGTTTCCGAGAAGTGCGGAAGACGGATCCGGTTGAAACGATTCACAAGTTCGTGTTTAAACTGAGTTTTCATCGCCATGAAATACCAACCGCGTTGATAAATGAAAGCCAAAGCAAGGTAGGGTAGTTAAAAGGATCATTTATTTTAAAACATGATGGTATAGGTTTTATTACACTTCAACAAATTCTTGTTTTTTGTTTTGCCCATGTCGTGCTAGATGTGCCATTCCGCTCAGTGTGTGTTGGGAGCACTGATCATGCACAGCGAGAGCCGCCATGGACCATGGACCGCGGCCCGCGCCAACCGGCGTCCCAAGCCGACCGGTGGCACTCCGCTCCAGCTCAGTGGCTGCTGTCGTCAATAACTGCAGTAAAGAACGGAATCCGTATCGATTTTGTCACTTGGTGCTAAATTTAGACGCGGCATATGCGGTTCGCATGGTGATAAGTATTTATCGAAACTTATAATAAATCTCGTCCGCTGAACATCCGGCGACTGTCCGGTGACTCACCTCTCCCGGCGACTGTCCCATGACTCACCTCTCCCGGCGACTGTCCGATCACCTCTCTGGGCGACTGTCCGATGACTGACCTCTCCCGGCGACTGTTCGGCGACTGTCCGATGACTGACCTCTCTGGGCGACTGTCCCGCGACTGTCCCGTGACTCACCACTCTGGGTGACTGTCCGCTGACTCACCTCTCTGGGCGACTGTCCGGTGACTCACCTCTCTGGGCGACTGTCCGGAGACTGTCCCATGACTCACCTCTCTGGGCGACTGTCCGGCGACTGTCCCATGACTCACCTCTCTGGGCGACTGTCCGCTGACTCACCTCTCTGGGCGACTGTCCGGTGACTCACCTCTCTGGGCGACTGTCCGGCGACTGTCCGATGACTGTCCCATGACTCACCTCTCCCGGCGACTGTCCGTTGGCTCACCTCTCCCGGCGACTGTTCGGCGACTGTCCGATGACTCACCTCTCTGGGCGACTGTCCGATGACTGTCCGATAACTCACCTCTCTGGGCGACTGTCCGATAACTCACCTCTCTGGGCGACTGTCCGGCGATGTGGTCCACGGTGATCTCGCGGCGTCGGCGGCTGAGGCTGTCCCGGTCGGCGGCGCCCGTGTCGTCCACCAGATGCAGGGCGAACGGCACCTCGTCGGAGCCCGCCGGCTCCGGGCCATCCCACGCCGAGGCCACGCTGCGCTTGTACACCTTTGGCCAGAGCACATACACAGACTCACATGGGATGGCATGATCGTTGGGCATCGAGCACCTATACCAATACCAGAGTGGATTGAAAACATCAAAAACAGCAACAACATTGAACAGCGACATGTCAAACCAATAACGGTAAATGGAAGTGAAATTAATTGATTTTTCTCGCAATGATGACTGTATAGTTTATGACTGTTTTCACAAGATCGAAGTTTGGACCATCATCTGTTCGAGCGTAATAGAACAGTATATGAGAATAGCGACACATCTGGTAAACGCTAGAACCAGCAGGACGGTGCCGGTATCTACTGCGATACGTTAAACTTTCGGTTAATATTATCGCCGGTGAACCGGGAGAGAGGCAAGAACGGGTGGTGGGTCCACAAGTAATTTCATAAATCTTGCTCAAATGCTTGAATGGACAGATTCACAGAGCAGGAACACATCCTAAGCAGAGCTTGTTGACACTTGCCTTAACCAAATACAGGTATGTACCAACTCAGGTACGGGGTAGACGAATATCACCTTATCGTTTGTAGCGCTTTTGTTGTTTTGAATTTCTGCATATAAAAAGATCCTTTAATAATTCATATAAACCAAATTTTAAAATAATGCAAAAAAGTTGAATTATTCGTGATTGGGCTAGAATAATCATTTCTTACACACCGAAACGAAAGATCCATTGGTCAAAGACACGAGGATAAATCGTAATGAACCATTCGTGGCAAGAAGAGTTGATCTTTCCCCGCCCGGGAAAAGATCACTTGTTTCTGAGTTTATAGAATTAAAGAATTAGAGAATTTATAGCAACTAATAGTGTGTAAGAAATATATAATCATGCATGGGTCTGCCGGGAAGAAGAAAAATTATCAGCACTTGTGCCATCTTTTCACGAAAATATCACCCCACTCGTGCTGATAATTTTTCATATTCCCCCGGCAGACCCATGCATAATTATATATATATATATATATATATATATATATATATATATATATATATATATATATATATATATATATCCTCCATAGTGAATCTCCAAGTCCTATTTAACCTATTTCGGAGTCTTTCCTTAGATTAACGGAAATTTCTGAGTCTGAGCGGCCGGCCGTGCGGACGCTTTTGCGAGGCTTACATATGTTACAGGGAGTATGCGATTTCAGTTAGTTTGCAACGACCCTAGGGTGGTTGTAACCTCCCTGAACGATCAGTTTGTTTGCAACGACCCTAGGGACGTTACAAAATAACTGCTCGTTCCGGGACGTTGTAACGAAACTAGGGTCGTTGCAACCTCCCTAGTTAGTATGCAACGAACCTAGGGTTGTTACAAAATAACTAGGGAGCTTAAGAATTCATCGAATCTTGTTCCACAGGAGGGCCGTCAACAATCTTGTCCAATGAAAATCTTGTTCAATCTAGTTCAGTTAAAAAGAAAAGAAAAACAAAAATTGAACATTCAGCTCAGGAGTATTTTTACGACGGCCATCTAAGTACACATTTTGTACAGATTAGGTGCACATTTAGTGCAGATTTGTTCAAATTAGATGTGCATTCGCCAGGAAGCCCTTTGTAAAAACGGCTATTAGCCGTTTTCACGACGGCCATCTGGTACACATTTGGTGCACATCTGGTACAGATCAGGTGCAGATTTGGTCAAATCAGGTTCACTGTGTCTCTTAGCAGCTATCAGCTAGGGTTGCACTAATTGCTTATATGCCTCCTTTGTCATATTATCAGAGAGCATCATCGATTAAAACACTGAAATAAACATAAAATGAAGATATTTGCTGCAAAAGAAATTGTGTGCAGATTTGGTCAAATCAGGTGCATTCGCCGGATAGCCCGTCGTGAAAACGGCTATTATCCTCTCGTTTCCAGTCTTTTTGTGATTGTAAACGTTCAAACATGTGGAATGATTGTGGTCCCATGCATTATGGTGGGTGTCAAGGTCACGTAAAGGTCACGTCAAGGTCATTGACCTTTGATGACCTTAGTTCACTTCTTCTGGATTCATTTATTTTTCGGCTAGTTTTTTTAACTGATTTCGAATTTAGCACACATTTGAACATTTTCGAAGTAATTTTGCCGCCTTCGTACCATGTCACGAAGCTGTCAGTGGTGGTTGACACCTACTATGGACAGCTAGCAAGACGCCTACTGGTTGACCTGACCTGACCTGACCCGGCCTGGCCTAAAAACATCAAGACATCATCGATGATCAAAGCTAACATGAAATTCGTGATCAGCGCCTCGAAGAACCTCGCAACAGCCAACAACCTAACTCTCCAAAGTTTTAACAGGTCCCGATTTTCCCGACTTTTGAGTCACTGACCTGACCTGGAAGATCAACCAATAACCTAGCCCCGCCCTGTGCGTTTGCGGCTAGCAAAACACAAATAAGGGCGAGAGTTAACCCCGCCGGACCTGTTGGTTTTCTACATACGCGCCGGCTGGGGGGAGGGTTGGTACGACCCCCTCGTCGTTTTTCGCCCTTGATGGAGTTAGAGCGTCGCAGAAAAAACGAGCGTGTGTGACGGTAGGAGACGCAGCAACTAGTACCCGATTTTAAGGTCTCAGATCAACCGGTGACCTCTGAGGTCAGGTCAAGTGGCCCAAGGTACGGGTTCAGTTTTTGATAAATAACTTCTTTAAAAAACAGTCGCAGAGCGCGATTTTAGCATCAACGTGCTCGCCTTGTTCAGGCGCGTCGAATGATATACTTTTTGTTCGGGTGAGGTCAACTTGAGGTGTTGACCTCGGGTCAAGGTCAGGTCAGAGACCCCTAGGTCGCGAACTTGGTCAAAGGAGGTCATATTGCATATTATTCGATTCTGCAGGTCTTCCTCAGTCCATTGGTGACTTGACCGACTCGCTAGCTCAGTTTGATCGGGACTTATTGACGAAAAGCTCGTATGACCCAAGTGACGTCATAAATGACGTCACGCAACGTCAACAATGCAAAATTGAAGCGCTTGCAAGGAGTGCATGAAATCACGATCCGTGTGCTTGTGCTTGAGATAGTTTGAGATCGTTCCCGGCGCCAGAATAGCAGTTTTCATTTTTCTCAATTGACTTTATAGTGGTGAGGTCACGTGACCGACCTGACCTCAAGTGATCTTTAGGAAAAATCCTAGAGGTACAAGTTGTGAGACTTCTAGAAGATGCCCGTACTGTAAGTTTCATCCCCTGTAAAAGCTCCTCTGGGACTGAGGGCGTTGCGAAGTTGCGTCATCTGAGGACCGCTCACTTATGACGTCATAGGTCAGTAACCTGACCTGAAAATCTGGTTGGTGTCACAAGATTCGGCTTGAATCAAAGGTCAGGTATGCATAGTTTCAGCTCTCTGTTGCTGGCGTGTTCGGAGCTATCACGAAAAAAAAACTAGAGGAGAGCGAGGATGAAGCTAGGCTGGGTTGGGTAGGTTTGGGTCAAGTAGTAGGCGTCCCACCCGCACCACCTGTTTATAGCAGGTGTACCTAAACCACCAGCGACAGCTTCGTAGCAAGTTGCATTGGCACCACAACTATACGTACTTCGACTCTCAACGAATGCTGGATTCGAAATAGGCAAAAAATTCCCTTAAAATCGTAAATTTTGAAAGTCACCCGAAGTCACCAAACGTCAATGGCCTTGACCTGGCCGACAACTGACATTTCAACTTGAAACCCATCATGATGCATGGGACAACCATCAGTTCACATGTTGGCACGTTTATATGTAATCACAATAGAAGTCTGTAAACGCAATTTTATTTGCGCTAACATTAACGGCAAATCATTTCGGTCTGCCATGGTCTCAGAAATTAGATCAAATGTCAAAGGTCATTGGTTTCAGGATCATGAACTGTATAGGGAATGTGTAACCAGTAACGAAGATAAGTTTGAGGACACTCAAAGTTTCGTCACGATCGGCCGCTTTTAGCGCGAGATAATCGCGAAAAAACGAGGTGTTTTATCCGACCCGCACCCCTAAAAGTGTGAGGGATAACCCGCACACGGATAGCGACGGATATCCATCACACTTACCCCAGTAACTATATCATGTAAGCATATGCTGGCGATATAATGCAGCCACGGACGTATAATTAAACTGGACCCGCAACCACCTCCATTCAGGTGAAGCCGACAAGGCGCCATTTTACGTTGCCAAAAAACCGTGCTCTGAGAGGTCATCGAACCATTACAATTGGAATTGCGTCTAAACGGATGATCGGATCGAGATGCTGGTGGTACCGTTCGATGGGTAATGCTTTGAGGCAGGTGATGATGCATGTCACAGGTAATTCGGTGTCACGTGGCGCGTGCCACGTGCCGACAAAGTCGGGAAGGGCAAAAACCTTTAAGCGACGCTCCAAATTAAACGGTGGACGGCACAGGTGCCAAATTCACAGGTCACATGTCCCGGTGTTTGACCATTACCATATGGTATGCTCGGCAGCAGGGGGTGCGGAATGCACGCGCCAGGGGCGAAAAACATGTTTTGAGGATGCATCCTCCGATTCCGGAAAACCTTGACCTAGGCACACCAAATTGGGCACACTGACACTACTGTACGAGCGCTTTAAGGCGCTGTGCAAATAGATGTGCTGGGGTACACGGTGCACGTGCTGTGCACGTGCAAACCTTTTGATGTTGCACTCTGTGTCACATATACGGGCAGAGCGGGTAGCGCGAGCAAGCTCAAAGTGCCAAATTTACACAGGCCACCTAGAATGCATTCCAGCATAGTTATTGAGCATATCTATCTCCTGGTGGACCCCAAAGGTGCGCTCTGCACGTGCAAAAAATTATCCGCGCCGGGCGGTGGGGATGCTTGGACACCCCATGTAGGTTTATGTAAATATCTCGAAAACGGCGTTGTGGAGCGCCACCGTTTTTAGCACACCCTTTCATGAATCTTTTTCACACATGCTGCATAACTTTCAGACCCAGGTCACTCAAGGCTAGGTCACCACTCACCAGGTTACGTCCAAGTGGCCTTACCTTAGGAAAAGTTATAATGCCCGTCACAGCTCCACAGACTGAACAATCGGTCTAAAACGTTGGCGGCGATTACTAAGAGCACCATATAGGTATGCGTAAAGTATCTTATCCATAGTAAAGTATCAATTATCCATATTAAAATAGCTTATCCATAGTAGGTGTGAACCACCAATGATGGCGTCGTAACATGTTACGAAGGCACTAAAACTATAACTTCTTAAATGTTAAACTGAATGCTAAATTCGAAATCAGCTCCAAAAACTGTCCTAGAAACGTGTAAAACTCGAAAAGGTGAACAAAGGTCAGTAAAGGTCAGTGACCTTGACCTTATTTTCACGTGACCTTGACACCCACCATATTGCATGTGACCAACATCATATCACATGTTTGAACGCTTGAAACCACGAAAAGACAGCAAACGCGCTGCTAGTGCGCGCCGACGTACGCCGAATCACGATTCCGGCCAAACATGGTCTCGTAATAATAACTTAATATCAGATGCTGATTTACCGCTACTCAGTCAAGTTAGAGCCATTTCTTCTTGGCCGTGGTCACCGGTCCAGGCAACCACATAATCGTATTGCACCGCGCTTGCTCAATGCTCAGTTCGTATTGTAAAAGCACTGCGGCACAGCATAGATGCAGGCGCTCTGCTACTGCCATCTATGGGTGAAAGATGAAGATAATGGTTATTGCGGTACAGTATCACTACAGGCGCAAACAACGTGGAAACAAAGATGCCTATGCTGCGCTATCGGGCGATGGTAGCGTAAATTTGCGTTGCTGGGTAGCTAAAAGTTTTGGAGCCCGAATTTGACAAAAGAAATGGTTCGCCGTTTTAAAGACCGTATCAAACAATCTGCGGTTACTCTCAATTCTTGCTTTGAGATAACTGGTGATTTGTTTATCAAACTGTGGTACTTACAGGCTAATACCAGCACATAACGAACTTCAGGCGACACCGCTCGTCTATGTTTTGTGTCCTTTGCCTCACGTGAGGATGATGGGAACCTACTGGAGTAGGCAAAAGTGATATCATCTCCCATTTTCAAATGGATCAGCACCTAAATGGTGAGCCGACCAGGGGGACCGACGAACGCTGTTGTTGTCATCATCGACCATAGGTGGCCATCGACCATCGACTATCGACCATCGACAATAGGCCAACGTTTTAGACCGATTGTTCAGTCTGTGTAGCTATGACGGGCATTATAACTTTTCCTAAGATAAGGCCACTTGGACGTAACCTGGTGACCTAACCTTGAGTGACCTGGGTCTGAAAGTTATGCAGCATGTGTGAAAAAGATTCATGAAAGGGTGTGCTAAAAACGGTGGCGCTCCACAACGCCGTTTTCGAGATATTTACATAAACCTACATGGGGTGTCCAAGCATCCCCACCGCCCGGCGCGGATAATTTTTTGCACGTGCAGAGCGCACCTTTGGGGTCCACCAGGAGATAGATATGCTCAATAACTATGCTGGAATGCATTCTGGGTGGCCTGTGTAAATTTGGCACTTTGAGCTTGCTCGCGCTACCCGCTCTGCCCGTATCTGTGACACAGAGTGCAACATCAAAAGGTTTGCACGTGCACAGCACGTGCATCGTGTACCCCAGCACATCTATTTGCACAGCGCCTTAAAGCGCTCGTCCAGTAGTGTCAGTGTGCCCAATTTGGTGTGCCTAGGTCAAGGTTTTCCGGAATCGGAGGATGCATCCTCAAAACATGTTTTTCGCCCCTGGCGCGTGCATTCCGCACCCCCTGCTGCCGAGCATACCATATGGTAATGGTCAAACACCGGGACATGTGACCTGTGAATTTGGCACCTGTGCCGTCCACCGTTTAATTTGGAGCGTCGCTTTAAGGTTTTTGCCCTTCCCGACTTTGTCGGCACGTGGCACGCGCCACGTGACACTGAATGACCTGTGTCATGCATCATCACATGCCTCAAAGCATTACCCATCGAACGGTACCACCAGCATCTCGATCCGATCATCCGTTTAGACGCAATTCCAATTGTAATGGTTCGATGGCCTTTTAGAGCACGGGTTTTTGGCAACGTAAAATGGCGCCTTGTCGGCTTCACTATCTTCCATAGGAGGTCCATTGGGATCGTCAGTCCAGTTTATTTATACGTCCGTGAATGCAGCCTATATTATCACAGTTACGTGCTTTGTCCCGGGCACCACATATACTCCTGAGCTGAATGTTCAAATTTTGTTCTCCTTTTCTTTTAAACTGAACTAGATTGAACAAGATTTTCATTGGGCAGGATTGTTGACTGTGAAAACGAGACTCGATGAATTCTTAAACTCCCTAGTTATTTTGTAACAACCCTAGGTTCGTTGCATACTAACTAGGGAGGTTGCAACGACCCTACTTTCGTTACAGCGTCCCGGAACGAGCAGTTATTTTGTAACGTCCCTAGGGTCGTTGCAAACAAACTGATCGTTCAGGGAGGTTACAACCACCCTAGGGTCGTTGCAAACTAACTGAAATCGCATACTCCCTGTAACACATATATTTCAGCAACCACTTGACCGATTTACACGCGGTAATTTTTGTAGGGTAGCTTCATTCCTTCTACCAAGTATTGGACTATTCTCGATGCATGTGGGTGACCCCTTATGCACGTGCCACGTGCAAAACGAAGAGGCGTCAGTTTTGTAATTGTTGCAATATCTCGGTAACTACTTGGCCGATTGCGCTGAAAGTTGGCATGTAGGTAGGCACCCACTAGGCACTGCATATCTGCATATCCATGTGCCAGAGTTGGGGTGCTGCTGCACGTGCGCACGTGCAGGGTTCGTTTCCAGATCTCGAGAACGGCTGGACCGATGGTGCTCAAATTTGGTACACGGTTAGGGACCAGTTAGTGGGGTGCCGTGCACAAGTCAGTTGGGACCCATTTTGCACGTGCGCACGTGCAGCGTGCCGCTTCCAGATCTCGAGAACGGCTGGGCCGATTGTGCTCAAATTTGGCACATCGCTAGAGACCGGTTAGTAAGGTGCCGTGCACAAGTCAGTTGGAGGTACTACCCCCTCGAAATTTCGCACGTGCAAGGCCCACCCTCTCGCTCGCTTCGTTAGTCGCCCCAAAAGGCGTTATACTGGTTAACCTATTTGATTAACCTATTAACCTATTTGATAGCTTGCTTGCCGGGCTGTATTTGGACGTGTGAAGAGGGCAGCTTACTCGTTTGTCCTCCAGACTGTAGTGGTTGTGCGTCTGGTTGTAGACGACGCAGGCAGCTGCGTTCGGCTGGCAGAAACTCAGCATCATGGTGAAGAAAATCCAACAGCCCAGAGCTGCTATGAGCATCGTCTTTCCCTTACGGTACCTGGAACGGAAAGTATTTGTCACTATATGACATGGTATTGTTTACCTTCGTTAACCCATGAGCTGCTGGGGGGGGGGGGCATGAAGTTGCCCTCCCTTACGGTTTATGTGATATCCCCAAAACCGGATAAGATATGAACGTGAAACTTCTTACAGCTTCAAATGAATACCTAGGCAATATTTGAGAACGCTTGACGGTTGCAGCACCTAAGATGACCTCATAGTGACCTCATAAAGTTTTTTTTCGTTTTCCGATATAACTAGAGCGCCCACTGAGCATGAAACGCAACGGTAAAGGCTGAAACAGTCTCTTTCCGCGCTCAGGAAATCGCATGCGAGAGCCTATTCAAATACATTATAATTCTTTTCGCATCAATCGCATCCGGGAGGTGCGTGCGATTGATGCGAGCGTGCTTCCATGAATTTGAATAGGCTCTCGCATGCGATTTCCTGACTGCGGAAAGAGTCTGTTTCAGGCTTAAAGGCCGCCCCACACTGGACCTTGCATGCGGGTTGCGAGTTTTGGGGTTTTCGGGTCTCTTGCAAATAAAATAATATGTACAATATAAGCTCTAATAATATGTTTTATTATGTAATAATTTGTACAGTCTCAAATGTTTTTAGTTCAGCGCTCAAACGCATTGTCGAAAATGGTTAGTCTAGGAACACGGACGAGCTGGAATGTTCAGTGTTTCTCTGTGGTATGTATTTGTGTTGGTGACTGTTTGTATTCGTGTTATGTGCCTCTGATGGCATGAAATAAACGGCATTATTATATTATTATATTATTATAAGCTGAGTGACCCACACTACCATCTAACAAGCGAGTCTACATGATTTTAGCTTGCGAGCCACCTTGCATCGCATTCCAAAAGTTGATTTTGAGTCAACTTTCGATTTTCATCGCTGCGAGGTCTGCGAGTTCTGCGAAGCTTGCGAGTTTTTCGTTGGAGTCGAATTTTGGTTCGTTGCGCTGGTTGCGCTGGTAAATGACCTCAGGGGTCACCAATGAACCCGAGACCTTAAAATGTGGTATCATTCGATGCATCTTGTAACGGCGCACATGCTCGTTTTTTCCGCAAGGTTCTAGCTCCATTAGAGGCGAGACGGCGAGCTGGGGTCGTACCGACCCCCCGGAAACCCATTTTGTATGCATTAAAATGAGGAACTTATAGAAAGAGCACCTTTCTAATTTTTTGCAAGTCGATTTTAAATGACCTGAAATTTATTTTGAAGAAATAAAAATGGCAAAAATTTTGGTCCCAAAGGCCGTCATTGACAATTTAAAAAAAACATTACGACTTTTTCAATATGTAAAGCTTTTCTTTTCTATTTCAAAAAAAGCTGTATTAATCTTTGATTTATCGTTAGTTCAAAGCTGTTTACCGTTTGTTGCTTGCTTAGCTCGTTTTCAAGGTATAGCTCATCAAACTCACCCTTACAATCTGAAGTTTAGAAAATATTATGCAATGTAGCTCAAAAAATTTTCACCTGAGAAGTGTGATATTTTGGCAGGTGTTTTTGGAGCCTATGATTACCCCTAGTACTAATTTTCATTCAAACCTGAGGGATGAGGGTGACGGGCCTGGTACGATTTATCGTGGAATGCCCCACCTGTATAAAACTGGCAAACAGCTGGTGAACCTATACCTATTTAGGTGTCCATTACCGATTGTTTACGAAAACTACCACTTACCGACAGGAAACTCATCGCACGCGATCTCTGAGCAATAAAAATCTTTCGTAGGGATGGGTTGGGTTAACATCAACACCGGTGGCGGGGTTACCCACACATTTTGTAGGCGGCAAATATGCAAGGTATTTTTAAAAGTCGTGATGCATGAAAACCTTTTAGCAGCATGCAAAATAAATACCTCAAACACATGAGAAAATGTTTAAATACTGTAACCAAGACAATAACTACCAAGAGACTTCACACATATTCTCTCATTTTGGCGAAAAGCTTAGGGGGCGGTGTTACCCCCGCTACCCCTATATGTAATTTTCTGAAGGTGTACCGGCTTCACTGCATTCATGAAGTTACCATAAGGGAACGGTCTTATCACTCTATGAATTAGTATTATGCCCGCAAACTCAGAACCCGCAAAGTCGCAGCCCGCATGCGAGGTCCAGTGTGGGGCGGCCTTAAATGTATGCTGTCTAATGCTGAGCAGCACCTGCTGTTAGCCTAACACAGCTAAGTATCCTTTTAACTACTTTCTAAGGTTCCTTCCTTCCAAAGGTCACCGAAGGTTTTTTGCTAATAACTCCTTACAGGAACGAGATACAGCCGCGCAGATGGTCTCACCATGTTCAATTCGTCAAGGCGCATCGACTGACATACATGATGACCTTGAGGTCACGTGACCTAATGTCAAGCTTTGACCTTGACCTATTGAGGTCAACACATATACGATTCGATGTGGATTGACGAGAGGATCACGATGGTGCCATTAGTTTGTTTCTAGATGAGCTATTTCGAAAGTTATTCGAGAAAAACTCTTCATTTCTAACGCCGCCATTGACTTCTTTAAAGGGACTATCCCACCTTTAACATGGGGTTTTTGTCTATCAAATGGCCATCTCTGTTTTTGAAAATTTTGGATTTTGACCCAAATTTTTTCAAGACACTGACTTTTTTGGGAATATAATTATAAAATCCAAAATTTTGAGTGTATCAAAAAAAAACGGAATGTATGTCAGAGGAGTGGTCTATGTGCACCTACATACCAATTTTTAGAAGAATCGGTTCAAAAATGTGGGAGTTATTCAAAATTTTATGACGTCACGTACACACACACACAAAAATGAAAAATGATTTTTTTTGGATGTTCTAGACTTCGTACGGAAACCAAAATAGCACCATTCGATTTGCCGTGAAAAAATGCATCAGATAAACACCTTTTTAGGCCTTAACAACCAACTTCAAAATATGGCCTCACTTGACCTGACCTTGACCTGACCTCGACCTGAAATTCATCCAGAGGTGGTTCATATCACTTATTGAGTGTGCCTATTGAATTCTATGAGTAAAATGACCCATAAAACATGTGTCGCACATGCCCTTTTCTATGTTTTGTTTTTGGTGACCTGACCTGACCTGACCTGACCTTGACCTTGACCTTTGAATGACATTGTATGCAACGAATATTGTCTTGGTAGTCTAAGAACACGTTTTGGGCAATCAGTCTCAGTCCATTCTTCGGCAACTACGGTGCAAGGCCGATACTGTAGAAACTTGCATTTTGTACCCTTGACCTGACCTTGACCTGACCTCTGACCTACCTAAGCAAAAAAAAATTGGGCTCTTAACCCTATTCCTGGCGGGCTCCGCCGGGACAAGAAACTGGCGGGGGGGCCGATTCGGCCCCCCCCCCTGAGATCTCGAGAACGAAGCAAGATAGCGACAAACGGTAAACGGCATCGGATACGCACGGTCAAGATCTACAATTTTTACAAAGGTCATTTTCAGGTCAGGTCAAAGATGACGTCACAGGGGTCGAAAAAGTCAAAATGGCGGCGCTAGATATGGAGAGAGTTTTTCTCGAATAACTTTCGAATTAGTCAAGATAGGAACAAACTAAGGGCATCATCGTGATCCTCTCGTCAATCCGCATCGAATGATTTATATGTTGACCTCGCAAGGTCAAGGTCAAAGGTTGACCTCAGGTCACGTGACCTCGAGGTCATCATGTATATCATTCGATGCGTCTTGACGAGCTGAACACAATGAGACCATCCACGCGTCTGTATCTTGTTCCTGTACGGAGTTATTGGCCGTCTTTGGTGACCTTTGATGACGTCACATGACCTCACAGCTGCCCAACAGCAAAACAGACCTCAAGGTAGTGAAGGTTGATCGTATATGAAGTCATGTATGGTATATGGGGCCATTCCGACCCGTTTTAGTGGTAAAAACAGGGAGTTGATTTTCCCCCATTGACTTATAATGGGGAGGTCGCGAAACTGACCTGACCTTAGGTCACCGATATCAAAATTCCGAGATATACAAATTGCACATACTGGTACCCTAACTAAAGCCTGAAGAGAAGAAATTGATCGGTCAAAAACTCTAGCTCTGGCGTGATTGCAAACTTTTCTGAGGTAGGGTCACCAAACCGCCTCTGGTGACCTGACCTGAGGTCAGATCAACTCAAAATTTTTAGACATGTTGCGTAGAAGCCTTTTAGGAAAAGTCAGAAAATTTGAGGTTCCTAGCTCAACGCGTTTGGGAGAAATAACCAAAAAATCTCAGGGGGGGCTCCTGAGGCCCCCCCTCCGCCAGGAATAGGGTTAAGATCCGCCTTGTTGAGAGCTTTCGATTGCCGTTTTCCCCGTCTTTCTACCACCATCGGTTCGGAAATTAGACAGGAGGGGGGGGCAGAATCTGCCCCCCCAGCAGGGCGCGTATGGCTGAATAGCCCAGCGGGGCGCGGGTTAAGATCCGATGTCAGCCCATGAGGACCATAGGCAGGCTCCTGAGAACCAGACGCCGACTCATATGCCCTGCGGTACAGGCTATCTTCAGGCGCCTACTGCCAATGCCATCTAGCGGCAATGTTTCAAGCATCAATGTGCCCTGCGGTGCAGGCTATCTTCAGGCGTCTATCTTCAATGCCATCTAGCGGCAATATTTTCAGTTTCAATGTGCCTTGCGGTACAGGCTACCTGCAGGCGACAACTGCCAGTGCCATCTAGCGGCAATGTTTCAAGCATCAATGCGCCCTGCGGTACAGGCTACCTTCAGGCGTCTATCTTCAGTGCCATCTAGCGGCAATATTTTCAGAATCAATGTGCCTTGCGGTAAAGGCTACCTGCAGGCGCCTACTGCCAATGCCATCTAGCGGCAATGTTTCAAGCATCAATGTGCCCTGCGGTACAGGCTACCTTCAGACGTCTAAATTCAATGTCATCTAGCGGCAATATTTTCAGTATCAATATGCCTTGCGGTACAGGCTACCTGCAGGCGCCTACTGCTAATGCCATCTAGCGGCAATATTT